AGATTATCAAGCACCAAAAATAAATAATATCATGTTCAAGAAAAAAATATATACACTTTGTATTCTTCTTTCGTGTCCTCAAATACTCTGCCAGGCCTTGGCACACTGAAGAGCCTTCTCATTTGCTGCCACCAGGTTTTCCAGGCAGCATTGGTCAATTAGGAGTGGACATCTTAATAGGTGTGACATGGATTGCACGGATGTTCCACACTCGCAGTTGGTGTCTGTGTCGTCAGTATATCCCCATTTATTCATGTTGTATTTACATCGCCCCACCCTTGTGCGAAGCCTATTGAGGGACTTCCACGTCTTCCAATCACATCTATGGCCAGGGGGGCAGCTGTTCCTTGGTTGGGATTGGTAGCTTTTCATGGTGGTGGTTTTCACAACGTTTCTCTTCCCACAAGATCAATCTGGTTGAATGAGGAGGTTATGACAGTGGCTGGACTGTATGAAGGAAGCTTTTCCTTGACTTCAGGCGGGTAGGGGCCGGTTGATGCGAGTAAAGGGGATGGCGGGTGTCCTCAACTTGTCTGCTGCGTTCAGTCCTACTTGCAACTGTTCTGCGGACATCGGATGGAGCAATGCCGGCCAGGGAGTGCAAGCTGTCCACATTCATGGGCTTGAGGCAGCCAGTGATGCATCTGCAGCTGTCGTTGAGTGCTGCATCAACTTTCTTTGTATGGGATGATCTTCCCCATACAGGGCAGGCATATTCTGCTGCAGAGTAACACAACGCAAGAGCAGTTGACCTACGCTGCGATGTAGCAAGATGACGTAATTATGACGACAGGTCACTAGTTTTCTGACAAACTCCAAATCATCGATGAACGGGTTAGCAAATTTGGCCTGACGAAGCCAGACGACCCGACGCATGCGCAAATCGTCAAAATGACGTCACATCTACGCACAAATCATAGATTTTACCTAACTCTATGGCTCAAATCCACTAACAGCGCTGTAACAGCGTGCGTGTCTAACAGCGCTCTAACAGCGTTTCTGTGCGGCCGCCAAATTAGAATTGATCTGGGTCAACAATCCAGCAATGGGCAGAAGCAAGTTGGCGCCTAATTGGAAAGGGCCTTACAGAGTACTTTCTTCAGCACCATCTCAGCTCATAGTCAAGATTCAGAGTCTGTTTGACGACAGGAAAGAGATGGTAGTGCACAAGAACCGCATCAAACCATATCAATCTGAGTGGAACCAGCAAACACCCACCTCATATGATCTTCCTCACTTCCAGTATCCACATCTGTCAAATGATCATCCTCACATCAAATACCCTTATCTGTCAAATAAGCATCCTACCTTCACTCAACAAGATAATGTTGGAACCTCTCATCCTTTCGTCACGCTCCCTCCCACCATTATGGAGTGGAGGCCATCCTGAGGGACTTCAGATACCCCCTGACGGAGATGCTTTACTCCCGGACAGAGATGCTCTACCCCCGGACGGAGATGCTCTACCCCCGGACGGAGATGCTCTACCCCCTGACGGAGATGCTCTACCCCCGGACGGAGATGCCCTACCCCCGGACGGAGATACCCTACCCCCTGGCGGAGAAGGCCAGCCACAGTTGACAACGAGATCTGGCCGCTTAGTTCAGAAACCTTTTAAGTATCAGGATTATGTATCTGAATGGTGTATGTAGGGCAATGAATTTGCAGTACTTTTCATAGAGCCAGTATATTAATTTATTACTACTTTTTATTTGGATTAATAATGTTAATCTGTTCAAGATAGTTCAACTGGAACTGAATCACAAAAGAGGATGATTTATTTTAAATAGACAGGGCTTACCTAGAATTGTAGGAAGAAAATATAAACAATGGCTCCTATGTTATAAAGTGCAAATTTAATGTCCCTAAGCTGACATTGTTCATCATTAGGTGTGTATTTCTTGTGTTAGAAACTTAAATTGTTATTTCCGAATATCAATTTTGGGTATACTGGAAAACAGAAACAACTGATTTTTGTCAGTTTCATTTCTGTGTGACTTATTGTGTTCTGCACATATGCAGGGTATTTACACGGATTGTGGAATCTTTAGCACTAATAATATTGATAATGATAAGGAAAGGTATTTAGAAAGGAAAAAAGCTATATTTGGTGTATTTTGTTTGTTTTGATGATTCATGATGAGCTAGGTATAAACCTGTAAATTGGCAACAGTTCAGCAATTTGTGCGAAAATGTTAATTTGCCTTTGTAACGATCTATTTAAAAAAGGATTGGTACTGTTAACGAACAAATAAAATAGTTCCAGTATGTATTTGTTTTTGATAACAACACCAAGCTATGGAGTAAATATTTTGTTGTTGTTAGGATGCAACTCCTATCTATTAGATTTGATTTAAATTTGTAGTATTGATCGTTCAACAGCGAAAAGAAAGAAAAGAAAGATTTGTTATCGGTAAAGGAAATAAGTACAAGACAAATTTTATATACTCTTTATCATTGACAGATGCACTTTTGTTATTTTATGGTTAATAGCAACTGTAAGAAATTCTTATGTATTGGAAATAGGCCAACAGTTGTCGGTATTGTCGGTTTACAAACAATAGAGGAAGAAGAGAAAAGTTGTTTTTTTTCTTCATTTGGTTAGAAAAAAACAACAACACAAAGTTGGGAATTTGAATTTGACCTACGGAAGTATATTTATGACAATGTTGTGTGTTTTAAAAGTGTATGCAGGATATCATTTTGGATTTATAGGTATCGGTATGACAATGTCCTCCAAGTAATTCATGACAATTTCTTTCTTTCTTTCTTTCTTTCTGTATTATACATGTAGTTCAGATAGTAGAGACTCGGAAGATATATCCTGAATGTAATTGTAAAGGTGTCAAACTATTCTTTACTGTTAAGTGCGTATACAAGACATTTGTTGTCACAGTGTGGCTATTCAGAATGGGGAAAGCTTAAAAAGTTGAAAGACTAATTTTTTTTTTAAACATGTAATGCCAAATTTTGAAGATAGAAGTTTCAGATAGAGAGTCGTTATAAAGAACCAGGCTCATGAAGAAAAAGAACATTTTTTTTTAAATTCTCTTGTTATCTGTTTCAATGCATGTACCTTGAGTATGGCTGACACAGGAAATCTGAGTAGATTACAATTGTATCTATGATATTAAATTAAATGATTTACCGGTAGCTCTTTTACGGAAAAATGAGGACATTCATAGTTGAAAGGGAAGTTTATGTAAGAGTTAAAATTAGACTCATTCCCTACTTGTATGTGTCACATTTACCATTTGTTTCTCTAGTCTCTTTTCCATACATATTCATTTCACATCATTTGCATATTCATTTCATCCATTCATCTCCACCATTCATCTTCACCACATACCAACTCTTAAAGCTAGAACAGGTGGTATGTTCTCTTCTCGTTTACATATTTCCACTTCTTACTTATCAATGGTTCTCTTCTTCTTTTTCTTATGAATACTCAGTTTTATTCTTAAATCCTATTTTGCTATTGGTTGATAATGTATTTTTCATTTGAATATAACCTGCATGAAGCACTGATAGAATAAAACTCATGTATTATGTTGGGATTAGCGGAGTGAGAGAATGAATTAAATGTATCAAATGAAATGCATTGCATATGCTTTTTGCAAAGGGCAAAGGGTGCGTTTAATCAATTTTTTGAAGCTAGAATCACAAATCAAAACGCCGTTACAAAAAACAAGGTCACTGTGGTTTGTGTTCAAGCGATTTTTCATCAACGCTGATTCTAGCTCATTTCGAGCCCAGCCACTGCGCATCACACTGCGCAGTTGACCCTGGAAGTATATGTCAACCTTGGCGCGCGCTTTTTTTGGAATTGATTACGGCCGACTGCTGTTTTGAGCATAGATCGCAATAATAAAACAAAGAATGAGAAGGTGATAGAAGGAAGTAACAAAGAATAACATAAGGAAAGACAGAAAGAGAAAGTGATAGAATGATTAAAATAAAGAATAACATAAGAGAAAGTGATAGAATGATTAAAACAAAGAATAACACAAGAGAAATTGATAAAATGCTTAAAACAAAGAATTACATAAGAAAAGGTGATAGAAGGAAAAAACAAAAAATAACATAAGAATAGAATAATAATAATAATAATAATAATAAATTTATATAGCGCAGCTTTTATACAAAATATATTCAGCTGCGCTGGTTAAGAGCTCTTTTTTTACTAAATTCTACAAAATAAGATCACTCAGTTGAACAAATAAGTTTTTAAATTGGATTTAAAAACATTGAGAGATGGAGTGCTTCGTATAGAAGGAAGAAACAAAGAATAACATCAGGAAAGACAGAAAGAGAAAATGAAAGGAAAACAAGGAATAACATAACGGAACAGGCCACGATAAAGAGCATGGTATAGTGAACGCAATTGCATGAAAAGCAGGCGCGCAGTTTTTGCCCAAACCGGAACAGGCCACGATAGAATCATGATTGAGACTACGTTCGTTCAATCGAATTTTAGCGACCGTGATTCTGCAGAATCATGATACAAAACGCATCTTTTTCAGCGTTTCATGTTTGTGTTTTTAAACACGTTTATTTTTACGACCGATGAAAAAATCGCTTGAACGAAATGCGTTTTTTAAACTGTTCATAGATGAGTTTTAATATAATTAGCAATTGTCTAGGTGTAAACTTTTTTTCTACTTGCACTGTAGTACAATGTTTTTGTCAATCTTGCGTTGGTTTGAGGCAGATAGCTACAGCCATCTCAAAATGAGAAGGAAAACTGTGATGTCATTGTTCGAGCAAAATTTAGAGGTTATTGCGACATAATATATGAATATATGTATGAGCTCCGGTCGGATCGCGCGCAAAACAAATTTGGCGTAGTCTCACACATAGTACTTTATTCTCACAGCAGACACAAGTGTCATGCAGTAATGTGTGAGAAGTGTTAAAAAAGATATTTCAGTAATAAAAAAGTCTACGTGAGCAGTCTATACTCCCAATTGAGAAGTGGAATGAAAGCCATGATTTGAAGGGGTGTGTTTAGTGTATGATACATGGTTAGTGAGTGTGTTACGTATAGCGAGACAGAGAGAGAGATAAATAATACAGTACACGTCTGCGTACGTACGTTTGTTGATGCAGTCCTATTGTTGATTCCGTATTGTGTTTGCTGCAAGTTGGATCTCGTAACTTCTTGATCGTTGATAAAGGGAATGCAGTGTCAGATTGATCTTTACTCATGAGGAAATACTATTGGAATACATCTCAAAACCAAGTTAGGCCTAATTATTAATTGTAATCACTTTCTGAGTTTAGATCTATATTGATTGACTACAATGAGTGGCTTTCTCTCTCCGTTTGTCCCTCCATGGCCGATTTCAGGATTGCGGCTTGCAATTACCGTACCTGGCCTGTACTGTGTCGGTGTGTGCGACCGATTCAAGGCTAGCTGATGAGTGAATGTACTTTCGCGCGAAGTTTTAAACTTGTTGTCCAGGCAATGACATGCCCATTCCCATGGGCCTGTCTAATTATGAAAGTAATTTCGCGACATGAAATTGATTATTTCAAGGCTCTTACGGACGGATTGGCGTAGAAGAAAGAGACTACTTTAGAGATGGATATCTCCTATTTTATGGAACTTCTCGAGTTGGCAGATGGGTGAGTTGTCTTAGTTAAAGAAAATACTTTCTTTTAAACTTTGTTTTATTATAAATAAATTAGTAATTAAAAACTTAAATTTTGGTATTGGCCTCCCTACTACTAGTCACTAGACTTACAATTTGAACTCAAAATCGGTACTTTAAGTGATGACACCAGTAAAATTAAATAGACTAGACTCTAGGGCTAGAGTCTAGGCATGGCACTGTGCCAATGCTAATGCGTATTGACCTTTAGCACTGCACTACCGGTACGTGTTAATAGGCAGCATTTGAATACATGAATAGTCGATACACTCATAACGCACAGATGCACACAATCATGCCGATGCGGTTGATCAGCAAGTTTGACAGTGGACTCACAATTTGAATTTTTAAATTATTCTTTCTGACATCGTAAAGTTGAACAAATTGTATTTTACTGCCATTTAGGTGTCATCAATCGTCACTAAAGTACCGATTTTGAGTGAAATCAGTTGAGTTTTATATAGTGGTGTTTAAAATGTTGAGAATCAATAGCACAGCTTTTAATACACAGCCAGGATAGTAATGCACCTATGTGTGCGACAAGACAGTCATAACCGCCAACTACGAAGATGTGTCTGATCTTCCTAAACTGTTTCACAAAGAGCTTACTAGCTAGTATCTTGTGAAATCGATACAATCGGCAAGTAAAAAGAGCCAAGCCATAGCCTTAGTCGCAATACCACACAATTAAAAAAGTAATATTAGGAAAAATGTGAGTATTTAAATGAATTAGTGATAAAAAAAAGATTGAAAATGATACCAGGAACTAAGAGATGCAATTTATACTTCCAAATTTGTGTAGATTATACAATAGAAGTACTTGTAAAATATAATTGTGAATATTTCATTACATGACCGGTGAATCAGTTTTGTTCTTGAGATGGGTACCCCCCGGATATTTTCATTTAATAGTTTATAAAAATATACCAATATATTCTTTAAAACATATGATGTAATGAAATTTGTGTCCAATGTTTTAGGCGTCAGCACAATATAAAAATTACAAAACTTCAACATTCCAAACGTTAAAACATATGTTTAAACCATTCAGTTTACACATTTGAAGATAGTATTTATCTCAAAATTAATATGGGTCTAAAAAATAGAGAATACACTTCTAACTATGGCTTGCCTGTCATGGCAGATTATCCATCCCATCAAGGATTTTACAATGTGGAATTCAATACGTATTATCAGTTTAGTTGAGTGGAAAAAGCCTTAAATATAAACATGGCATATTTTCAAAAGATTTTCAAATACGAAAAACGATAACTCCCTTTATTAATTGACTTTTGATTTCAGATAGTAGTGCATTCTGTCTTTTTTTCTGTCATTTTTGTCTGTCCTTTCTTAATTTCTTCTATCTATTCTACGTGGCTTATTTTTATATATTTTTTTTAATCTCTATTTTTCAGGAACTGCTAATCCTTGACATTCCAAGCTGTGTAAATGCAGCACTTCTCTCACAAAAATCTTAGCCCAAATTAGTGATGGAGTTTGGTGGGTTTGATGATGATCTCTTCACAAAGACCGAGAAAAAGCCAAAGAAAGCTGCCATAGTTGACTACAAGCCCAAAACCCTTCTACCACAGGTTTGTAAATTCATGGACATAATTACCATCATCATCATCATCATCAACCCCATCATCATCAACCCCACCATCATCAACCCCACCATCATCAACCCCATCATCATCAACCCCATCATCATCAACCCCATCATCATCAACCCCATCATCATCAACCCCATCATCATCAACCCCATCATCATCAACCCCATCATCATCAACCCCATCATCATCAACCCCATCATCATCAACCCCATCATCATCCCCATCATCATCAACCCCACCATCATCAATCCCACCATCATCAACCCCACCATCATCAACCCCATCATCATCAACCCCATCATCATCAACCCCATCATCATCAACCCCATCATCATCAACACCATCATCATCAACCCCACCATCATCAACCCCATCATCAACCCCATCATCATCAACCCCATCATCATCAACCCCATCATCATCAACCCCATCATCATCAACCCCATCATCATCAACCCCATCATCATCAACCCCATCATCATCAGTTTCATCATCATCACTAATGTCATCACCAATATCATCGCCACAATTAACATGGTCATGGTCATCAACCCCATCATCATCAACCCATCATCATCAACCCCATCATCATCAACCCCATCATCATCAACCCCATCATCATCAACCCCATCATCATCATCATCATCATCATCAGTTTCATCATCATCACTAATGTCATCACCAATATCATTGCCACAATTAACATGGTCATGGTCATCAACGTCATCATCATCAATATCATCATCACCATAATCATCACCATCATCACTATCATCACCACTACCACGAACAACTACCGTCCACCAATTTTATCATCATCACCATCACCATGGCATTAGCATCATAATTCATCTCTTCCATTTTTTGTCCCTTTCCAGGCCTACTTCAAGCCGATGCCTGTTGGCCACGGTCATGGTTTTAAAGGCCAAGTCCACTCCAAATATAATTTGCTTTTAATAGATGCAGAAAAACAAGAGAAATAGAGCAAAAAGAAATTGAGTAAAATCTGATAACTAAAAAGGAAGTTATCAATTTTGTATTAAGTATGAAAAGCTATGGAACTGAGAAAATCACTATCGGTACACAAATTGCTAATTTGGTTAGCAGTTTGTGACGTTATCGCTTCACTATTTATCAATTGCTTTATATACTTTTATCCCATTAATTTCACTTTTATCCCCAAAACTCGATTTCCCCATGCCTTTGCCCAGGTTACTAGTAGTATACGATTTGTATCATATTGCGTGCATGACATTTCACAAAATCTTTTATGAACTGTGAAGAATTAATACTGTTTTCTGAATATTGTATTTTCATAATCATTGATTTTTATATTATCAAAATTCAAATTTTTCATGATTTAATGTACAAATACATATCACTATCAATATAACTTGGATGCTGGTGTGAGGAAATAAGATTTTTGGGGAGAAAATTTGAAATTTAGGGAGAAAATTTGAAATTTAGATTATCGAATAAAGAAAACAATTTGGATAGTGAGGCAATGACGTCACAGACTCATAAGTAAGTTGCCAATTTGTCTTGAGATTTTCAAGTTTTTCATGTCATTAAAAATTCATAACTTTCTTAATAGTTTTCCAATTTTGCTCAAACTTGTTTTGATTGGCTTGTCTGATTTTCTGCTTCTATTGACAATAAGTTATTTTTGGAATGGACTTGCCTTTTAAGCTGCTCTCATCCATGTAGGGCCCAATAAACCTGTTTAGTAACGTATTCAAATTTATGGATGTTTCTTTCCTGGGGACCTAGTGACGAGTTATTCCATTAACTTGTTATTGATGAATGAACTACATTACATAAAATCCAGTCTGCATACATTATTTGTTGCTATGTCTGGCAGAGTATGCAGAAATATGTTAGTAAACCTGTCTATTAATTGCAAGATACTAATTTCATGTATCTCCATATAGTTTCTGTCATCCCTAACTTTTCCCTCCATCTCCAATCTCTACACTGCTTTATCCAACTTTGTGGAAACATAAATATCATTTTACTCTCATCACTATTAATTTTTTTCCAATCTACAGTGGTACACAAAAGACCAGGCCATGCCAACAGATGATCCAGATAAGGTCCATTTCTACATCTTCCGTGGCAATCGGCATTACTACCGAGGGAACTGGTCGGACGCGTTGGATGCCTACACTAGAGCAATGGACAGCGTTGCCCCTAACAACACCAGCATCAGACGGTTGCTCCTAGAATCCCTGGCGAGATGCAGATGGAGATCAGGGGATGCTCATGGAGCAGTTGAGATGGGCAAGAAATTGGTGAGCTCTACAAGAAATACTTGCACTTAAAGGCACTATGTCCCATTTGCAGGTCAAAGAATGATTAAATTAAAAGGTTAAATTTTAACGGCATTTGAAAGTAAGGATGCGACAAGTACTTGAATTTTCAAGTACTCGCACTGTTGACAACTCCTCGAAAAAAAGAAATCGTACTTGAATACTCGGCCGCAATTTTTTTTTTTTTTTCCCCGTTTACCTGGCACCTTCCAGGCCGACGCTTACCCGGCACCTTCCAGGCCGACGCTTACCCGTGCCCGGGACAGTGCCGGCATGGTACCGTAGGTAAAAATGTTTCCCAGCTTAAAGAGAAGGTTAAGTTCAGGGAAGAGTTGAAGAACAATGTGTGAGCGTTATAATTGTTATTATGCAAGTGTGGAAGAACATCAGATAAAACATGTTCTCTGAAAAGCATGGCTCTTCAAATGCCTTCATATTCTAAATATGTCATGTAACATCGTAAAAATCGGGACGGATTTTTACGCCACATGTTCGTGTAGTCCCATATACATCTTTCTGTGTACAGTGTTTGTAACTTTACCAAGACCTGGCCAAATTTCTTATCATTTTGATGATACCAGAACCTTGCAATACACACAAATACTTATATGCTAGATGATCAACCTTTTCTCGTAGATTCCACACCGTTTCTTTCACAATGCAATCGCATGACCAGAACTCAACTTCATCTTTAATCACTGTCAACTCACCACTCAGAAACTGGGACCAAATGTCCGGATTTCTGTTTGGACTCGGAGGAAAAGTAGTCTGTCATCTTTGGTTTTAAAAACAGCATTGTGTATTATTATTATTACCGTAAATTTCTGTGTATAAGGCGCACCTGTGTATAAGGCGCACCCCTATTTTAAAGACCAAAAACGGAGCTCTAAAAACTATATTTATCGGCAAGGTTTTGTTGCCCCTATGGAGCTCTAAAAATAATAATAATCGGCAAGGTTTTGTTGCCCCTACGGAGCTCTAAAAACTTTGTTGCCCCTTTAGTTAAATGTTTAGCATAAAAACATTATGACTCAGGCTTATCGAAAACCACTAAAAAGTAGCATTTTGAGGACTCAAAATATCCTGTACCTGTGTATAAGGCGCACCCCCGACTTTTGATTTTTGCCGATGGAAAAAAAGTGTGCCTTATACACAGAGATTTACGGTATTATTATCATTAAATCGGCGCCTTCAACTGCAAATCAAAGTAAAATCGCAGGAGTTTTCTTTCTTTTTTTTTTTAAATAAAAAAAACAAACATGGCGTCCGAGTATTCGAGTACCGGTATTCGCCTGTAAGCCTGGGAGTGTACTTGAGTACCTCATTACACGGTTATGCACAGCCTTATTTGAAAGACAATAATTATGTAGAACTTCCCTCAAAACAAAAGGGTTTGTAAATGGCTTTTTGTGGGAAAATAACGACCATTAGTTGTTAAATCGACATAAGTGATTGCAATCACCTAAGTAATAGTCTGAATTTCAAACCCTTGTACCGAATGGTCGTATGCTTTGTGCTGCACAAAGATTCAATCAGTTCAATTTTTGCCATTACAAGTAGTGGGTTATTGATGTGGACAAATGCTCATGTATCCATTACAGCTTATTTTATGTGTCTTATTACCAAAGAAAAAAAATGTCAGCGGTAACTCAATACTGTCTGACAGGGAAGTCGAGAAAGTAAACGGGCTTCGTTGCATAATTTAAATACGCTAACGTTTAAATTTCACAGATAGGACAAACATGACATATTCATAATTCCTGCAAAGTTCTACTGAATTTGATAATGGCTGCAAAAGGGACATAGTATCTTTAAAGATGAAATTCAAAGAAGTTCACAAATATGTCAACTAATGTATCACTAGAAACTGGTAAGCTTACAGAGTGCCATCGGACAAGCTTTAGGTCAACTGCATATCGGGTGATTTATAAAAATACAAATACAACCACCTCCATAGCAATAATAATAATAATACACAATATTTATAAGGCGCTTAATACTGGTGTTTCTAAGCGCACCATATTCTGACTAAACAATTATTTACCAAAACTTATAATAAACACACAACTTATACATCTGTTCTTTATTCAATAAATCATGCATATATAATAATAAAAAATAAGATAAGAGTGAGATCAAACATACATATAAGAGGTCAAACATAGGATCAAACACAAGATCGAACAAACAAAAAAATAAGACGGTGTGCACCTCCCTTGACCGACTCACGACTGCAGAATATTGTTTATGAATTAAAAAGGTGAGTTTGCAGCTGGGATATACAAGAGATTCGCCAGAAAAATAACACTGTTTTAATGACGTCACTATATGGACCAACACTGCCCAAGCAGACGACATCCCATAGAGAATGAACATACTTGCAAAGCTATTATTTCTCAAATTAAAATGAGTTTAGTGTATATAAATGTAATGGCATGTCAAACCATTCAAAAGGGGATATGACCAGATTCTGATAACTAAAATCTTTTGCTTGTAAATACACAGGATAGGGGTTAATTAGCAATGGCGTCTTATTTTGTTTACAAGCGACAGATTCCTTTATTTTTGTATCGCTGCATTTGTCATCAAAATAAAACCATGCGCGGGTTTAGAGTGAGGCAATAGATTATATATTTAGCCTGACGGTAGTGAAGTAAGAGAAAGAACTCGAGAAGATGAAAACACAGGCACTGAAAATGTGTGAGATGTCATGGGACATCGTCTGCTTGTGCAAGTCATGTCCATACTGGGATCTCACACATCTCAGCAGCGTTCGGAGAGCTCTTCAGGAGCTATGCCGGGCTGTATTTAAGCGTTTTGTAATTTATGATAATCAGTACTTCAAATGTTTCCAAGCATTGAATTTTGATAACCTTGTCGAATCAAAGTTTCAACTTTGCAATACCGGTAATGAAAATAAAGTTAGTTTTTAAAATCAATGAATATCTACTTTAAGCATGGTTCCCCCAGATCCTTTAAAATCATTGAATATCCTGTAATTTTAAAACTGCATTTGAAGGTTCTTGAAAGCCCTGCAGTTTAAAAACTGTCTAAAGTCTTGGAAATGTCATTGAATTTCTGTTTTTTAATTTTTTTTTAATTTTACAAAGTTTCCTAAAAATGAAACAATTCAAGAAATTTGTCCTTGTATCTCCTTACTCATTCGAGTAATAAAGAATGGAATTCTATATTCCATTCCTACCGGTTAATTATATTACTTTAACATCCCCCCCCCCCCTTCTATCTATTTTACAGGTTGAAGAATCGACGAACGATCATCAGCTGTTTGGTGCGCATAGTGTGCTGGCCATGTTTTATGATGCTGCGGGAAATACAGAAGGCAAGATTTCCCATTTTCCATATTCCTTTTCAGAAGTTCCAGTGTAATGGTGTTATATACTTGTGCAGATTGATTATGAGTCTAAGTAATTTTTTGAAAATATACTGTTAAAGAATCAAACATATGCTGAATGTTCAAGACACTACTTAGCTGTTAAATGATTACTTGCCCAAGATTACTCCACCTAGGTGAAGTAAATGGGGACCTGGTAGGAATTTATTCCTTGAAACGCAGAGCGTGTGACAGCTGCACTGCTAAAGCCAGGTTAATTATGCTGCATTATTGTAGAGCACTTACAGACTTCTGATAAAGTAAGTGTTATGTGCTATATAAGCAAATATAATTATTAGAAGATGAAGATAAAATTTGATGATTTATAAGCTACCTGTAATCACAAATTTCAGACTAGTAGAATTGTCTACGTCTGTAGGCTCTTGAATAATTATGTATTATCAAACTCGAGCAATTCACAACTTGTAAATCGAAAATCTAATTCTGTCATACTTCTTTAGTGATTATCCTTTCTTTCACAATAACTAAACTGATGATTTTATTTTTCAATGCTTATTTCCCCTCAGATCATACAAACAGCCTCACGCTCTGTCTGGACATACGACCTTTGAGCGTGCAGCACTGGATCCAGCTAGCCAAAATATATATTAAAAAACTCCCATCAAAAGACTGCAGAAATATATCAAAATCTCATGCAGTTGAGAATGATTCAGGAGCAAAAAGGCACATAGGACAATACAGTGTTGACCAATCTCCTGTCTCGGGTAATAGTCATTGTGCCACCCAAAGGATCAGTAATGGTTATTCTGCAAATGTGGAGTCACGCCCTTCTGCCGCTAAAGATTCTACTGCACGTTATGGCAATACATGTACTAGGAGAGGGCTGGATGCGCACAAGGACGTGAACACTGAGCATAGTATATGCAAGGATGAACGCATTCTTAATAAGTCGCAAGACAGGAGTTGTCTTTCTCATAGTGGCAATGTCAATGGTGATGCATGTGAAATCAGGCAATTGAATCACAGTTCATCATCGATGTCATCCCCACTATCATCGTCAGGGTCATCGTCAGGGTCATCGTCAGGGTCATCGTCAGGGTCATCGTCAGGGTCGTCGTCAGGGTCATCGTCAGGGTCGTCGTCAGGGTCTGTGCTGGAAGACAGCCTAACGGCAACAGGGAATGTCCCAAGACGATCTCCAGCATCATCAGTTCCAAAAATAGATAAACTGGAAAGATTGTCTCTAAATGGCGAAGGCACTACTGTGGCAAAGGACTTACAACCTAATGGACTAGAGGAGATCATTAGTGGTGGGGGAGATGTAGAAGGAGAAGCTGACTTTGTTCTGGAATCTGTTAAATGCCTTCTAAAAGCTCAGTAAGTATGCCATAATCTTTCTCCTCATCTTGAAATATTCTTGATTATTTCAAAGCTAGTTAAATATTTTCAATGGAAGGAAACTTTGCAGTTAATGATATTATCCCCAAATTCAAAGTCTTCATTGAATATATGTGACATGATATTATATCAGTTAACTTTGAGATGGACTGGGAATACACAAAATGTTAACGGTCGAACAGATAAGTTGAACACTTAGACAAATTGACATCAGACCATGTGACAGTATGTACAGAGTTTTTCCCGATGTCTTATAGAGGGGCCTTGACAACTTTGACTTACCAACTTTTGATCTCTTTTCTTAAAACTTTCAGAGATTTTTTCCCTTTATCTTCTTTTCCCTCGACATCTTCAGCTGAATCAACAAACAATTCAACTACTTTCATGACCATGCAAATGATACATAGTATCCATTGGGAACATGATTCAACTATACTAGACATAATGGGATCTGTTCGGAGCCAGTAGGGTTTTAGCTTACATTAGATAATACAGAGGGAATGCTCTTCTGGCTCCAGATAATTGGTAGGAGTTCATATGACGACAATGTTTAATTCACAACATATTCAATTCAATTCTATTCAATTAAGTTTATGCATTTCTATAAAAATCGCATTACAAGAACGCATATATTTGCAAAAAGTACTGTAAATAACATGCAAAATCTTTCACTAGAGTATACATAGGTACATTAAAATATTAAACAATAATGGAAAAAGGGAAGTTATAAAAACCCAAATAAATGAGTTTGTTGAGATATTTCCCCCAAAAGTAATTAAACAAAATGTGATGAACATAATAAAGATTTGAAATTACATAAACTTATTTTGCCCTAAAGAAAACTTGTTAAACAACAGAAACAAACCCCCAAAACATACAAGCCCTACAAATACACACATATTTTTAAATATATAAAATGGAAAAATATTCTACACAAAATCACATGTGATTAGATGCTGCTTTACACTTCTTTTAAATATTTAATCCTGATCAGGGTTATCTTGAAGAGTCTTCAAATCTGTGCTGTTTCAATGACGAAGATGAGGAATGCTCAACTGCTAGCAGAGGTGAGTGGAACATGACATTGAGATTTCAGATTCAAAATGCATGTACTGTACATGTATGTAAGGTTATCACGGTCATGTAAAACCAGGAAATATATAGAAAATGAATTCTTCTGGAAAGTCATGGAAAATGAATGACAATCTCCCAAGATTGGTGGACTAATGAATATTAATAAGCTAGAATGATTCAGGAGAGCTTGGGCACATGTTTCTAGTTCATCATGAATGTGCCATGGACCAGTGATGGCCTGGTGGTAGAGTAGCTGCCCGGCAAGCAGTAGATGGCAGGTTCAAATCCTGCTGGTTCCAAGATTTTTTTTTTTTGCGGAGACATAGGCGCCGCTTTCCCGGTGACCGCGGCGTTGGCGGCGTCAACATGAAATTTTAGTATAATTTTGAAACAGTATTCAATTAAACTTCGATCAAAGGGTTATCAAGTATCCCCAATCATGTGAGTAGAATTTCAGGTCACTAAGTTAAGGTCAGAGGCCATTTCAGGTCAACAAACTTAGACTATGTTGTGGCATCAACATCAAAACTTTAAAAAAGGTTACGATTTTGAATTTTTATCATAATTTTGAGAGTATACATTCCTATTCCAAGAACCTTGAACATAGGGGTTATGAAGTATCATCAATCATGTGATTAGTCTTTTAGGTGACAAAGTCAAGGTCAAATGTCATTTAAGGTCTGCAAACTTAGACTTTGTTATGGTATCAACATCAAGATTTTGAATTTTTAGCATAATTTCGATAGGTTTGATCAAATTCCATGAAACTTGTACACAACGGTTATCAAGTACCACAAATCATACGACGCAAATTTCAGGTCACAAAGTCCAGGTCAAAGGTCATTTTAGGTCAGTAGACTAGGATTATGTTTTCACAACTTAATATGAGAATTAATAATTACATTTTTATTATTTGTTCATATTCCATTAAAGTTATCAATCTTGGTACAAATTATAGTAAACAATTTTCTGATGATTCTTAGCCAATATTCACCTCAAAATGCTGATTATATTCAGAGGATTTAATTTTTTTTTCTCTCTTTTTTTTTTTGGGGGGGGCTGCTAATGGGCCACCCTGCCTATAAATAATGTCCCAACCTCAATTTTCATCATATCGATTGCGTAATGCAGGCGAGACCGTTGAGAGCGTTTCCCTTGTTCTGACTTGTGTTCAATTACAGATCGATCAATCAATCTTATTTACTGGGTGTAAACAACATGTTTAAACAATTTAAACAAATCTCCCAAAGTCATGGAAAGTCTTGGAAATTGATCATGAGTGTGGGCTGTGAGTGACTTTGGCAGCCTTCCAATTTGGAATGACAATGGGGGTTGTAACTCATTCCTGTATTTTCATAAGCTGTATTTACCAGTATTTCCCGCTTTTTACCGGTATTTACCGCTTTTTACCGGGAAATACTGGGAAATAATGGGAAATATATTTTTCCACACACTTGTTCATAGGAATTGTCCAATTTTGAACATAATAACAATGGTGGTGCTCTGGTGTGTACTATTTGTGTGTGTGGGTGTGTGTTTGTTCATGTGTTTTTCTATGTCTGTTATTATGAAATGCTGGAAAAAATGCAGGAAAAAGATCCTAAATATATACACCTAATCTTGCTATGATGTTTTTCATTAAAGGGAACCAAAACCTTCATACTATTAGTTACTTTTATTGTAAAGTTTAAGATACTGTATTTGATAAAAAAAAAAGTGAAAATTTGAACAAAATCGGGCAAGGAATAAGGAAGTTAAAGCATTTTGAAATGACTAGTCACTAGAGGGCGATATTCAAATTGATGACATCATTTGTGGACAACTCTCCATGCCTTTTGTACATCAAATTTCACAATTCTTTTGTTTTCTTTGTATTTATTTGTGCTCTTGATCCGACTTCATAACATGTAAAGCAGAATATCATTTTGCATGCTATACAGGTACCTTGCTTTCAGGGGAGTAGATTATCTCAATCACAAGAAAGAAGGAAAAATGAAATTTGATGTCCAAAAGGCATGGAGAGTTGTCCACAAATGATGTCATCAAATTGAATACTGCCCTCTAGTGACTAATCATTTAAAAAAAGCTTTAACTTCCTTATTCCTTGCCCGATTTTGTTCAAATTTTCACTGATTTTATTAAAATATCTTAAACTTTACAATGAAAGTAACTTAGTATGAAGGTTTTGGTTCCCAGTTGCTAATTACCATATTCATGAATACCCATTAATTAGCATATGAACAAAATGCCATGTGTTTGGGTGTGTACATGTATGCAGTGAGGGTTTTATAAATCTGTTTGTGTGTTTCTACTATGAGTGTTGTGCTGCTAATTATTTCAGAACAATATTTTCAGTTGTGAGGCCAAAATCAAGTAAAATTCTTAATAAATAGAGAATTAAAATCATATTTCCCGTTTTTTACATATTTACCGGACGCGCATCTTATTTACCACCACCGGTATTTACCGCCTAACCCTAGTCCTTTGGCAATACAATAATCCTTATTTTGTGTATTCTCCACCCAGGTGTTAAATGGATACTGGGTAGGAGGTGAAAGTCATTCTACTTTACTCAGCCTTGTGACCTTCTGTAAAATGGTGCCAGGTGGGAATACTCCCCAGGGAGTGGAAAATGTGCATACCGGTACATTATATGCCAGAAAGTCTGAATCAGATGACGGGGTGTTAATACATTTGTTAATTGCTTAGAGACGTCATCCATGTAGATGAATACATTTAACCCTAGAATATATTGTTATTATTATCATCATCATCATTATATTTATTTTTATTTTAACAATTGTGACTTACATCACCAAGCAAAATTGGCAAGCAAATTAGTAACAAGAAGAAATTATAACAATCTCTATCATGCCGGGATGGACATAGTTATAACCTATGTGCTCAAAATCGCCATTAAATTGCAGGACTCTGGTATTCCTTTGGTGTAATTTCTAAAACTGTGACAGTCCATCAGAAAAGTTGAATGTTTTACCCTTGTCAGCTAATTAGAAAATTTGATGACTTTTTAAATCTTGGCTAGCATTGTCATCAAATGTCAGTCCGTCACATTTGCCAGCAGAACTGTAGATCCTGGAAATATGCCCTACCTAACATTGCAGAATATATGCAATTTGATTATGAAAATGGCCTTTTGCTTTAATACCATGTTCTATCATTCTCTTCTTTTGTTTCTATTCTTTCTTTGTTTCCCAGATTGATGAACTGCTGTCTTCCTTGCACCTTGATCCAGCCTTTGTTCAGGATATGAGCAAGAAAATGTACAATGAAGTATATGAGAAAGACGTCAAAGAAAAAGCAGCCAGCAGTTGATTATCACTAATTCAGTCACAATGTCACAAATCTTAAGGTAATGTTGAGTTGTGGTAATATAATGGAAGAAACCAGCTTTTAATTAATTCTGATGTGGTTATTTATCATGTAGTCGATGGGTTGTTTGGAATAGCAAATGTAACAAGCTACAAGAAAATGTACACTAATTACTGAACAGCACAACCCAATAGGTAGTCTATCTTTGGTTCTGTAATAAAGAATATGCTGTTCCTGTATAGCGCATATCACATTATAACAGTTCTGTGCTTCCAAAGGACTTTGCATATTCCTGGCCTTAATAGCTCTGTGTGCACCGTTTCATATCGTTCTTCATACTCCTTATCCGTAAGCCAGGTTGAATTTATACATTCTAGCGGTAGACAAGTAATATTTTAAGTAAATGGTACATTTTAATAAATACAGCTGTATTATTCTGTTTAGATATAAATAAATGTATTGTAATGGAGAGATGAAGAGCATCCCTTTGTATTTCTAACTTTATTGGGAGGTGGGCTTAGAGTTCGGATGAAGAATTGATTACAATTAGCTCAAAATATGAGAGTGCATTGGATGCAAAGTAGAGTGGAGGTCTAAATATCTTAAAATAAAATAAAATAAGATTGGGTTTGAGGAATAGAGAACATGAGGAAGAAAAAAGCCAAAATAAAGATGGGGGTGAGGAGCACAGTAGAGAATAATGAGAGGGGGATAGAGAGGTAGAGTTAAGAATTGGACAGGTGATTTTTACTGAGTGCCGCAAGACATTTCTAGGGGTTCCAGAGAGAAATTTAGTTATATTACAAATTTATATACGATTAACATCCATTTTGTTAAAACAAAATCTTAGAAGCAGCTATGTATTTGAGTGAGGAAGTTACATTTAAAACTTAAAGGCATTAAAGTTTCCTTCCTCGCTCGCTTTGCCACCTTGCAACCCCGGCCCCCCCACTCAGTGTTATTTAGGGTACGCATATGCTCGTTCCCTCTTTTTGAAATCACCCCCTATCTGAGGACTGCCAACATTTCCGAACCCCCCTTTCACAGGCTTTTCGCGGGCTTTTCCTGCCTTGGAGACCCCCCCTAAATCAGGAAAAATGCTCAATGTACCCCCCTAAATTCGGAATAATTTCTCAGGAGTCCAAATAGATGAGAGAAAAAAAGAAAAAACACCCCCTTTTTAAAGAAATCTCCGGGTGAAAAGTCAAATACACCCCTTTTTTTACAATTCTCGGGCCGGACTTTGTCGCACGAAAAGTACCCCTTTACCGGACATTTTGGCAACACGCATGCGGTCATTTCTAAACCTGAGTGGGGGGGGGGGGGGGCCGGGCTTGCAACCTTTAAAAATATGATGATTTCTTGCAGAAAAGCGCCTGATTACCTTTATATTTGGGCAAAAAGGTGCCAGAATATCTTTCTATTGATGGTGAAGTGCCTCAATGCATCAAAAATACACTTTACCTCGCTCGTTCCCAACATTTAGGAACACAATAATTCTGGGTAACCTCACGTTCATTCTTTATTTCATGTAATGTGTTGATTATTAAATAAATTTGTTATATTAAAAGTGTCGTCATATATTTGCTCACTTGCTTCGTGGTAACCTGAAGAGAAAAGGGTCACAAACTACACTGCTTAGTTTTAGAAATGAAAGAATTCTTTATTGCAGAAAAAAATGTGGAGTACACTTTTTAAATCAAGTTTCTTGCATAATCAAGACGAAAAATTAGTAAATTACATATTCTGAGAGTGAATGTTGAATATAATAACAATGTATCTCAGTCACGTCTAGTTTGCGTATAAGATACAGACGATTAAACAACGATATGTAGTTCCATTCTATTTCCATCTGCAATGTATTTTTTGTGTCATATTCACAGCAACAAAATAATTGTTACAGCTACAGGTACTTCAGGCATAATTAAAATCTCTTACAAAACACAATTTATCGCTTTTATAGGGCTATGCAAAAAAACAAAAACAGAGCTGAGTGTTAAAGGGAACCAAAACCTTCATACTAAGTTACTTTTATTGTAAAGTTTCAAAGATTTGAATGAAATCAGTGAAAATTTGAACAAAATCGGGCAAGGAATAAGGAAGTTAGAGCTTTTTTAAATGACTAGTCACTAGAGGGCGGTATTCAATTTGATGACATCATCTGTGGACAACTCTCCATGCCTTTTGTACATTAAATTTCACAATTTTTTCGTTTTCTTCGTATTTATTTGTGTTCTTGATTCGACTTCATAACATGTGAAGTAGAATATCATTTTGCATTCTACATCTTGCTTTCAGGGGAGTAGATTATCTCAATCGCAAGAAAGAAGGAAAAACATGAAATTTGATGTACAAAAGGCATGGAGAGTTGTCCACAGATGATGTCATCAAATTGAATACTGCCCTCTAGTGACTAGTCATTTCTAAAAGCTCTTACTTCCTTATTCCTTGCCCGATTTTGTTCAAATTTTCACTGATATTTTTCAAATATCTTAAACAATTACAATAAAAGTAACTTAGTATGAAGGTTTTGGTTCCCTTTAAATAGTAGCGGATGCAGGGAGGGGGAGGGGGGGGGGTGGCCTAAACTAAATAATCAGTCATATTGAGATCCATACTGTTGCATGGCCTAAACTAAATAATCAGTCATATTGAGATCCATACTGTTGCATGGCCTAAACTAAATAATCAGTCATATTGAGATCCATACTGTTGCTTATTGATACTATACACTTCCTTGGTAGTGAGTGTATATATATTCACATCTCTGCTCTTATGTGGGCTACACATGTAATGAACCAGCTACCGTTTACGTCATTTTTTAATAAATAAATGCATAAATTGTATTTGTAATTGAAACTATGTTTCTCTTTATTTATTTATTAACTTTTTAATTACCTAGGCTTGTATGTTGCAGTTCGCTCAACAGAAATACAAAACACACCAGGTCCTTGAGTTGCTGGGTAACTTGCCAACTGGAAGGCCATTAGCAAGCACCAACCAAAGACAAGCCAGACTGGGGTTAAAACTGGGTTTTACCCCAGTTGTTGACCACACGGGGGATTATCCACCTCCATTGGCCCCAGTGCCCAATTTTCTGTGTGCATGTACCTGCGAAAGTTAGCTGAATTATAATTTCTCTCCTTTGGTTTACCGGTATTTATTTATTTACAGTTTTATTTATTAAAAGAAAAAAAAAGTGCTATCATTTGGCCCTGCACAATAAAAATCAGGCATACACATGTATAATATTTACAAAACACACTTGATGAATAAGAATTGCACACATAAATTAAAGAAAAGTTTGTGATTACCAAGGTAAATACATAAGAAACTAATACTATGAATACACATTAGTAAAGTATAAGTGATTAGGCTATTAAATGATTTTGATTATCATGGTTATGATACAAAACAATACACTAAAGTATGGTGTATTATATAATTCCTTATATCATTCTGTCATATGTATATAAACTTCATGGACATGTAATAATTTTCTTTCTCTTGAACCTTTCAATGTTTCACGGTGATCTACTGTCTATAATCTGACTTACAAGAAAAGGAATCTCTGTGTCTTTCTTACAAAGGCCACTAGCGCTTTGTGGTTTAAATACTGGTACTTTTCTATGTTCTTTTCTTCCTGACAATTTATTCAACTAAAAGCATTGATCTTTCTATAATATATCTGGGTCATTCAGTAAGCAAGTGTGCAGTAGTTTCTGGTACTCAACAGATATCACACAGACCAGTTTCATGCTTATTTAGAAGGAGGTTCTGATTTAAGCCAATGTTGTCCATTCTTATAAACAGTGCAAAATGGTCGCATTACTCTTGCAGTTTACAATGCACTTTGATACTGATTTTTGAATACTTTTTAATGGGGACACTGTTTCATCCCATCTTCTTTGCCATTTCTATAATATAATGTGAGGATACTATTAGATTCACTTTTATTCAGTTTGTATTTAATGTCAATTTAAGTATGTGTTAAGGCATGTTTGGCTACCACCTCATTGGCCTGGATCTCGCAGTGGCCTGGGATTCACTTAAAATATACTTGTCTATTTATAAGGACCGCTATTTATAAAAGATTGATATTCATTTTGTCTCGCGTTATGAATAGTGGTCCTTATGAGTAATGGTCCTGAATAGCAGTCCTTATGTCCTTATGAATAGCGGTCCTTATGGATAGCGGTCCTTATGGATAGCGGTTTTTATGGATAGCGGTTTTTATGGATAGCGGTCCTTATGAATAGCGGTCCTTATGAATAGCGGTCCTTATGGATAGCGGTCCTTATGAATAGCGGTCCTTATGGATAGCGAGGTTGACCCTAGTGGAGTTGTGTATACAGCATCAATATTTCTATAATTGAATTGTTCTTCCTGATTGTTTTTCAGTGCTTCTATAGCACCTGCAAGAGAGTCGCAGAATATTACTGCTCCTGTATAAAAAGACTTGGTAGATGGTTTAACCAACATCATGCAACGGCAATAGCTGCTAATTCTTCACTGTATGAAGAAGTATTATTTTGCAGCCTTTTTAACTCTGACTAATCATAGTATGGTACAAAGAAGACCGCGGCTGCGTTTCCTGGTGTTTTATGAAAATAGTCTGATTTTCAGACCCTTGTACCGAATGGCCTCACGTGCAAGGATTCAATGAGTTTAATTTTGGCCATTACAAGAAGTGTGTTATTGATGTAGACAAATACTCATGTACCCTTTACAGCTCATTTTATGCCTGTTACCAAAGAAATAAAGAAGTCTAAAACTAATTTTTTTTGCATAATTTGAATACTAGGACACTATCTATCTAAGTATCTTCTCCCGGTTTGGAGGTTGATTGCAACATCTCTCCATTCTGGTGCACTCTTGCAGTTTTAGTCCACTCCCGTTCCTGACATTCTCTTCCCAGTTGACTCTGGGTCTACTTCCTTCCACTCTTCCTTCCAATACATCCTTTAAGAGGCTTCGGTGCCTTTTAACATGATCAAAGTATTTGATTTTTCTCTCCTACTAGTGCAATTTGTTTACGCCCTGCCATGTGCAATATCTGGTTTTCATTCGTTTCCAGGATATTTTCATCATTCTTCTATAAATCCACATTTCAAAAGATGTTACCGTATTCTATTTTCATACAATTGGACAGACCATATATACAGTTTACTAGTCTCAACCTAAGCACAAATTTCACCTTTCTATTTGTGAATAATCCTTTCATTGCCAGAAATGTATTCCGAGCAGTTTCTATTCTTTTTTATTTTTCTGCTTCACATCTGGCATCATCTGCGATATTTTGTCCTAAGTAGATGTGATTACTGACCTGCTCAATGATATGTCCATCGAGTTTCAAACACATTCTAGGCTTATTCTCTGTTTTACTAAAAAATCATTGACTTAGTTTTCTTGACATTCATGCTTAGACCAAACTCTTCACTTTTGACTTTTACAATATCCAATACATGTTGTATATCTGCTTCATTCTCTGCGCAAAGTACAGTGTCATCAGCATAACGTAAATTATTAATATTTACACCCCCAATACTAACACCTTTCATATCTGAAATTTCCCTGAATACCAACTCTGTGCACAAGTTGAACAGAGATGGGGACATTAAGCATCCCTGACGTACTCCTCTTTTGATTTTTGAGTCACCTGTAATTTCATTGTTAATTTTTGATGGCAGCTGTCTGCTCCCAGTACAGTTTAGATATGAGACGTATGTTCTTACCATCTAGATTAATTTTTTGTAAGCTTTCAATCAATTTGTTGTGGTGAATTTTGTTGAATGCTTTAGAGTAGTCAATAAAGCACTGCCAACGTTTAAATGTCATATATAGGACATACGTGACATATTCATAATTCCTGCAAAGTTCTACAGAAATTGATGTTGGCTGCAAAAGGGATACACTACCTTTAACAAATTTGTGAGGTCAGAATAGAACCCCACCTCAAATCAAATGGGTTTTCACGTATTAGAAGTTATTTTCATTCATTATAGTGACATTTCCGAATTTCATAAGGGAAATTGCACTTTCAATATATTTAAACATATAACTTGCAACCTGTATAAAACTGTAGGACTGGAGAGTGGGGGGGGGGGGGGGGGGGGGGGGGGGAGGACGAAGAACAGGGGTAGAGAGTGGAACATAAGGGGCTGAGAGTTGTGACAGATGGATAGATAGAGAGGTAAACAGAGAAACTCTGATATGGAGAAAAGAGATGGGTTAGAAAGTGGGTATAAGGAGAAGGGATGGGGAAGAAAGGAATAAAAAGATAGGGTTTTAGAGTGGAGATTGAGGAGTGATAGAGGAATGATGGGGATAGATAAAGAAGAAGAAGAAGAGGGCTACGAAGTGGAAAATTAGTGGGGGATAAATAGTGGGGGATAAATAGAGAGGGAGAGAGAGAGAGAGGGGGGAGGGGGGGGGGAGGGAGGGAGAGAGAGAGAGAGAGGGGGGGGGGAGGGAGTCCGGGAGGGAGGAAATTAAGGTTTTCCTCTGGCACTCGTAGGACGCTTGGCGGCCTCCTTCTTCTCAGCTGCTAATATTTCTTCTTCAATTTCTTCTGGAGTTTTCCTGCAAGAAATAAGATCATATAATTGATTAGTAATGATTTGATAGATAGATCTAGAAGATAATTACACATTTATATTAAATGATTAGTTAATTAATTGATTGCTTTATTGATTTATTCAATGATTAATTAATTGGTTGAATGAAAAATATGAGTAATAGACAATAATACTTTGGCGTTTATTCATTTTCTATTTGATTAATCAAGTCGAAAAATCGGCCTTGGATAATATCATTATTTTTTGTTTGTTTTGAATAGATAAATGTTACATTCTGGTTGCGTTGTCAAAGGCAGTACCCCTCGACCCCCCCCCCCCCCCCAAAAAAAAAAAAAAATTAAAGAAACTGGAAAGTGAATGAAAGGAAGAAAGGTGTAGGCAAAGTGTAAATGAAACAACCCCCCCCCCCCCCCCCCCCCGAACAAAACAAAGAAAAATCATCATTGTATCACTTATTGGATGATGAGTAATTGTTAGATAATATTGGAGGACAATTTAATTTTTCTTACTTTCGCCAGAGAAAGTAGCAGGATATTATGACTGGAATTCCAGCTCCGAATACCACAATCGCCACAGGGTAAATCCAATTCAGATCTGAAGGGGGAGGGAAAAAAACAAAAAAATATAAAAGATGAGACAAAATGAGATAAATATCAACATATTTATCAACATAAATATCAACATATTTATATGCCAAATCTACCACTACTACTACCGGGGGGGGGGGGGGGGGGGGGGGGGGGGGGGGGGGGCTTTACCTTCTTTCCATTTGTTTTCCAATGTATCTCTCTTCCAAATTTACTCTTGTTTGTGTTTTGTATTCACTGATTTTTCTTACACTTTGCCGAATAATAATTATAATAATAATTACTAGTAAGTAGTAATAGTAATTTGGATTGAAAATTAAAAAGCACGTGCCCTAGTTGATCTCCAAGCAGCTCTCTGCTTTAATACTGAGTCGAACGGAGCAAAGCAGTTGCACAGAGATGAGGCCTTCATTAATTTGAATGGGGGGGGGGGGGGCTGGGCTTTACCTTCTTTCCATTTGTTTTGCAATGTATCTCTCTTCCAAATTTACTCGTTTTGTGTTTTGTATTCACTGATTTTTCTTACACTTTGCCGAATAATAATAATAATAATAATTACTAGTAAGTAGTAATAGTAATTTGGATTGAAAATTAAAAAGCACGTGCCCTAGTTGATCTCCAAGCAGCTCTCTGCTTTAATACTGAGTCGAACGGAGCAAAGCAGTTGCACAGAGATGAGGCCTTCATTAATTTGAATGGTGACGGGTTGGTAAACACGAAACCCCGCAAATCACGTTGGTATACTGTGGTTTGATATGTATATAGAAACGCTGTTTCTGAGTAGCAAAAGTTGATAACGCACCCATATAGAGCATTACAATGATGCATTACGTTAGTAATCCAAAAAAAGATATCCATGGGTTATATAAAAAGGCATAAGATATTGCCCGTGAATTGATTTTTTTTTCAAAATTCTTTCTGATCTGCATGTTGTTTCCCCTGACATGGTGCACCACATATTGCGCGAATCGCTGACGCAGTCCTACGTCACTGAAATGATGCATCGGGTACAACGTGCATTAAATGCAGACAAGAATGTAGACTTACTGTTCTTGATAACCTTCTGGAAAGGTTCCTTGGTGTCTTTGTTCGTGCCTGGCGCTCTTGTAGCTCTTGTAGCCTGTTGGTCATGGCCTGTTGGTGGTGTTGTGGAGGGTTCTTCTTGTACACTATCAGACGGTTCTCTGACAATCGAGGGCTGCTCGGAATTTGATTGTGTTGGAGGAGGAGCTATGCAAGGACAGAGGAAGAATCATTTTATTTAATGAGGAACTAGTGTCAAGACTAAGTAATTCAGTACATGCCGTGCTAGAAAGTGTTTTGGTGTAGGTGCCTTTTTTGCGGGGTGCATCGTGTAAAAACTTCGAGCCAAACCGACCTTCTATCTTGTCTTCTAACCGTGGTTATAAATTGAGGGTGCTTGTGTAAAGTGCAGCCAGCACAGGTACATAGATGGCAATATTTCATCTACCTGGAAAATTGTAAAGGATATTTTATGCAAGCAAGGAAAACATGAAGTTCCAGGAGAAATTGTTCATGGTAATAAAGAAATAACAAATGCAGAAAATATTGCAAATGCATATAACACTTATTTTGTCAATGTTGGCCTAAATCAAGCCAAGATGATAAATAAAGATGGAACCAACTTCACACTTCTGGGCATGATGAAATCAGTACATTTTTATTGAAAAAGATCATTGTTTCAATTCTAACGCCTCTTGTACACATTTGCAATCTCTCTTTGATGACCGGAGTGTTTCCTTCTTCTTTCAAACTGGCAAGGGTGATTCCTGTTCATAAAAAAGATGACGTGATGGTCGTTTCTAAATATAGACCAATCTCATTACTGCCTAGCTTTTCTAAAGTTTTGGAACGAATTGTCTGTAACAGGCTCTACAGTTTTTTAGATAAATGTGAATCATTGAATCCTGATCAATTTGGATTTCGGCGGTCGCATTCTACTGATGTTTCAAGTGCACTCGCTGCTCACGAGCATGTCATTGGTGTATTTATGGATCTGAGTAAAGCATTTGACACACTTGACCATTCAATTCTTCTTTCTAAGTTAAAGCATTATGGAATAAGGGGCATAGCTTTACAATGGCTTGCGAGTTACTTATCTATGAGAAGACAGTACACTTATTATAACTCTGTTAACTCTGACATTCTGTTTCTTAAATGTGGTGTTCCGCAGGGATCCATCCTGGGCCCATTATTATTTCTTATTTATATCAATGATATTTGTAATGTATCTAAAACTTTGAACTATACCTTATTTGCAGATGATACGAGTGTTTTCTTGTCTCATCGTGAAATCAACACTCTTGAACAGAAACTAAATTCGGAACGACCAAAGTTGACTTTATGGTTTAGAAGTAATGTGCTCTCTCTCAACGTTCTTAAAACAAATTATATTCATTTTAGAGGTAGAAAATCTAATGACAAACTTGCTCTTAAAGGTAATACAAAGTTTTGGTATGGGGTCATGAATTTGGTTCAAATGAACATATTGGAAGCATATACATTCCTACATTATTCAGTGATCGTTGTCGCGGTCGAAATCGACTCTAAAGTTATGAAATTGTAAATAATAAACACTTTATGTTGAATAGCTCCCTCTCAAGGTCAAGATATTAATCAACCTACAAAACAACGTTTATTGACTAAAATCGACCAATTAACTATTCTCGTTCGGAAATTATATACAACTACATACTCTGAGATTTTCATGGTCGCAGCTACCATTGTACGGTCGTAGGAGCTATTTGATATTTATCAAAATTTACCGGGAGCACCGGTAAATCTTTATATTCAATTTTTCTCGAAAGCAGAAGTGTTTTAGGGGCTAAAATTTCTGGTGTTATTAATACATCCACAGGGGCATCCAAATATATCAAAATTGTAAAGAATCACATCCATCCACTTTTCAAAATTTCCAAAACCTTGTAATACCTTTAATATTAATCTAGATGATATTTCTTTAGAGAGAAAGACATGTACGAAATTCCTTGGTGTCTATATCAATGAAAAACTTGACTGGAGCGACCATGTAAAACACATTGTTACACCAATCTTCAGAAATATTGGCGTACTGTATAGAATAAAATGTTTTGTTTCTGATAGAATATTACTTATGCTATATAATAGTCTAATTTTACCACACATCTCTTATCGTAATATTTTGTGGGCAACATCCAAGTGTGTGACTAATAATATTCTTCTGTTACAAAAGAAAGCTGTACGCTAGCATGTACCCGAGCTGGTTATCGTGACCATGCTACCCCACTATTTGTTAAACTGAAATGCTTAAAGATTGATGATATTAACTTCCTCCAAATTGCCATATTTATGTTCCGTTTTAATATCAAATTATTACCTGATCATTATCTTCAATGTTCCAACCTAATAACATGGTTCATTCGTATTCAACAAGGCAGTCATCGAATTTACATGTGGTCAATCCTCACACTACATTAGCCCAGAAATCAATCAGACACAGAGGTCCAGATGTATGGAATTCTTTACCTAATGATATTCGAAATATAAAATCAACAAACTCTTTTAAAAGAGCACTCAAATGTATTATCATTTCACAGATGTAAGATATTACTTACATTATAATCTATTTATCAGTTCTAATTAAATCTAACATAATTTTGTTACTAGGCTTAACGAAATTCTTTTTTTCTTTCTTTTTTTTAACTTTGTAAATAGTGTAAATAGTTCACTACAAAACTTTAGGAATTTTATTTGTCATATATTATATATTTGAAAGGTGTTGTAACGATTCAAGCTCTATTTGCTTATGTTTCATCACCTTTGTGTGTTCGTTCTTCAAACTGTATATAAGTTGCAACTTGTCTTTGATAAAACAATGTTATATTCTTTTTCACGTGAAGTTAATTCAAATGTATTGTAAAATTGAAAATGATTTGTCATCTTATATTAATTTTTCATGTGATGTTAACTTCAATGAATTGTGAAATTGTGAACATGCATAAATAAATAAATAAATAAATAAATAGATGGGTGTGACAGATTTGGGCTTGCATGCATGGTGTATTAATTAAAGTCTAAATGATATCAATTGGATGCAGGACACATGAAAAGTGCATGCTGATTTGAATATAGTCAATTAACACACGATAGGTATACAATCTACATACAAAATCCCCGGACAAAATCAAACAAAATCATAAGGAAAATTTTAACAGATTGACAAAAATGTAAGAAATTTTTGAAGAAAATTAAATGGCTTCTGACATGTCTTTTGGTTAAAAACTTTCCTGAAAATGTATTATCCACCCATCCAAATGTATGCTGTGATTGAGAACTTTATGGAGCGACCGTTATGCCAGGATGGTGGGCTCTGGCAATACTCGGTGCAGGTAATCACGTCGCTTCTCAGTGGAAGAAATGTGAAAAGGTAAGTGGGAAGGTAAGGTCTTGTGATCTTGTTTTCACCTCCCTTAATTTCTCCCTCTCTATCTCTCTCTTTGTTTTTTCGCCATTCAGGGGGGGGGGGGGCACGTACATGTTCCAACCGGTTTCCTTAGCTTTATATACCCCACTATAGTTTTGCCCATTCTTAATACACCCGAGAGTAGCAAATCATGATTACCTTCGGTCAAATCTTCACTAGGGGTGCAACAAGCATAACGGACTTCCAGATCTGGACACGTTTGATTAGTATCTTTGTCGACTTGCGAGGTACATCGAATCCCATTCCTATTGCACGGGAAGTCGTACTGAGGAACGAATGTAGGGGTTGCATCGTACCAGGGAACGGAGGCTGTACTAGAAACCGTGGCCTTTAAGCGACATTCAGCATAGACAGGGCTATCGCAAAACAAATCATATCCATCTGCAATAGCCTGAAGGTTCAAAAAGAATAATATCGAAGAGCATGATACATGTAATCAAATTCACTGAAATAACAAGATATACATTTGAAAAGCTAATACTCTTTGTTTTTTGAAGATAAGAAAGATTCAACATATGTGATTTATCGTGAAATTGAACTAATTATTGGAACTAATCTTGGCAATTAAAATTAGTATACGACATACATGTGATTTATCGTGATATCGCACTAATTATTGGAACTAATCATGGCAATTAAAATTAGTATACGAAAGTCAAATGATGATATCATTAGTACAGCCTACTTCATGAAGATACATAAGCTATACAAATTAAAAAACAAAGATATGAAACAATATGATGAGACAGATATAGAGTGGTACATTGTTGGTTGAGACGTTGAGGGAACTGGCCCAATTTGTGAGAAAATATTTATCCAGTGAATTACCTGGGGGGGGGGGGGGTTAAATTAACATGTTTTTACATGTTTTTCCCAGGGGTAGGGGCCTAGGCCTCCCTGGATCCGCCACAGGGGGGAGAGGACATCGGACTTACTCATTGGATTAAATCGTAAATTAACTGGGCCATCGATTAAAGGGTATGGAAAGGGGTTGTCATTTCACGAACCTTTTTTCCGTTTATATCACTGGATGGGGGCACGTTCCAGTGTCTCCTCCATTGCTACGTCACAGTATATATATATATATAGGCCTGCGAATTAAGGGATACCTCATGCATGCTAGGCAGTGCACCTGATTCAAAGCAAATTAATATGATTATGGTGTAAAATCAATGATAAACACTACATACCAGCGCTTTGTGAGATTCCTTTGTCTCAGACTCCTCGCCGTCAACAGGTGGGCCCTCGTCAAAAAACTTGGTCCAATAATACGTGGGTTCCACAACTAAATCAAATCAGATCAAATAAAATCTACATATTTTTAAATTGACAAACAGTGATACTTTAATCCTAAATTTACTGCCTTAAATTAATACTGGCTATGAAAAATAGGGCTCAAGCCCTCTTAACCCTATCTAGCCTGGGGGGGGGGGGGGGCTTTAGAAGCCCCCCCCCCCTCAACATTTTTCTCGATCATTTTTTAACGCAAAAAAATCTTGCACTGAAATTTGTGACTTTTTTCTTTCGAGTCTTGCGCATCTTTTGAAAGAAATTTTTTGAAAATCGGACCTACCATTACAAAGTCACGTGTCCTTTTGTCTTTGCATGTCAGCCCGAAAATCGCTCATTTTTATGATTTGTGTACAAAACATATGGAAATCTCATTTTTCAAATAAAGAGATAAAACATTGGTTATTTGGTCTTGTTCATAGTTTAGGTGTTTATTTTGGGGTCAAAATAGTTGAATTATAGTTGGAAATGAAATAAAACAACAAAAACAATGAAATACATAAGTTAAAAAAACAGGGAAATACATAAGAAATTATCAAAACAATAGATAGGAATAAAAAGGAATAACCCTGGTTTTTCAATTTTTTGTGTTGTATTATTATTAAAAATGGTCTAACATATATATGTAGTGAGAAAGAATGCTTAAATATGAATAATGTCTGATTTATGGGCAAAAATGTGAATTTTATGACCTTATTTGCATAAATTACCAGTAATATGTAAATGAGTGAATTAAAAAAAAAAATGAAATTACCATAGTATTCTATACACTTCACTTGACATGTATGCAATTTTTCGCGGCGATCGGGCGTTTTACGGCCGAGATCATGGCCCCCCCGGCTATGCAGTTTCAAAATAGCCCGGGCTAAATAGGGTTAAATGTTCAAGACCCCCCCCCCCCCCCCCCCCCCCTCCAAATTAAAAAAAAAAAATCCAACGCCCGAAAAAGGCCACCTAAAATTATACCTACTTCTAGAACCGCTCGGGGAGGGTAGTCCTAGAATAGTTCTTTATGCCCTTTGCACACGACGTGCCAAATCGATGCCGTTTGTATCAAATGCTCATAATTCAACGCAATAGTTACCACTTGAGTATATACTTGGTCATTCCTGTATGGTTTCTGGAAAAAAAGGGCACCTACAAAGGGAAATCTCAAAGCGAAAATATACAGTTTCTTAGACATTGGTATATACCCCTACATTGTGATTACAATTATCAAGGATGATTTCAATATTTGTTTCAATTTATACACCATGCAAGATATTGCTTAAGCATCATGCTTTGCAGTTGGGTTTGATTGTCTAAAAAATTGTTTGCGAGCGAGGAAAAATGTTAAGATGTGTGAGGTCGCAGAGCGAAAATTACATCTTTTTTCTTTTTTTTGTCCATCATTTATTAATTGAATAATAATATGTGCATAAGAGACACAAAATTATCTTGATTACAAAGAAAAACACATGAATTATACTTATATCGCAAAAAGAATTATAATTTTTTGTTTAACATGGTCAACATTTTTTCCAGTGATGATGCTTTTCAACATTTGCACTCCATCAGGCGCGTAGCCAGGGGGGGGGGGGGGGCGATAAGGATTAAGAGTCGATCGAGAACGGTAAAACAAATCGTCTTCTTTCTCTAATAACTTAATGAAACGTCAAAGCTCGCGGGAGAGGGGATACTCCCCCTCCCTGCACCCACCCCCCTAGGGAGCTACGCGCGCTCTGTAAGTGATTCGCACGCTTTGTGTGCTCACTACCGCCCCCTTAAAATGAAATCCTGGCTACGCGCTTGCCCTCCATAATATTTCCTTTAAATAAATGTTGAATATGTTTGTAAAATTACCTTTTCTCTTTTGCGTATATAAAACATAAGAAGCTAAATTAATTAATAGATTTTTAAAAAAATTACATATTTTGAATTTATATAATCACATTGCTTGCCTATTATATATCACAGTATTCAATTTTTTCATTGATAAACAATACTTCTGTTTTTCTGAGAAAAATTAAGACCTTGATCCATAATATTTTTGAGTACTCAGTCATAAAATAAATGATAACGATTTTCTGTGCATTTGCACTTCAAACAATAATCATGATCAGATCTTTGAAATGATATAGTTATTCTTCACATGCTAATAACTTATAGAGTAGTTTGAAATCATGACGAAAACTCGTCGTTTAAAATTGAAACCCCCATTTGACTTTCACCACTACTAGAGCTGAGATTGTGATAAGCCCTAAGTAAACACTAGCGCTGTAATCCACCCCACCGAGACCTTGATGAGGTGATAGAGAGAGAGAGAGATAAGCATGATAGAGGGGGAAAGGAAGGGAGAAGGGAGAAAGAGACACATGCAGGGGTTCGCTGCCAGAGTTAAAACTGTTGTTATATCGTCAATTATGGGTCATTTTGCTTCGTTCGAACTTTCATTTTGGTCTTCATCTAAATTATTGGTGACTATAGGACATGAAAATATCTTAAAACAAGTAAAATACTTTTTTCCTACTTCTCATTTCCTTTCAGACAGAGCCCCAGTAAGAGTTTGTTTACACTAGTATTACGTAAGATGATGAAGAGTCCAGCTGCAATCCTCAAGGCTCTGTCCAAGTTTTTAACGAGAGAAACGAAATTGGGGTAGTGACACCCCACCAGATTACATTGACTGCTGTGTTATAGTGGTGGGGTATAGTTTTAACGAGAGCTTTTCGTAAACTGTTTTAATCGTTTTTACTTGACGTATGTCAAATTCATTTCCCATGTATTTTTTCCAAAAAAAATTCCCAATAATTTTAACATTTGGATTTATAAAGGTTCTATCAACTAATACCTTATATATAATTTGTGACATTTTTATTTTTGTAGCTTATATAATTATTGTGACATATTTTTGGTGTCAAATCTAAAAAGTGAAGAAGTGTATTTTTATATGAACAAAAAACAGTTTCAAAACAAATTACATCTTATAAAGAGGAAAAAACCCAATCCCAATGGGGGTATAAGCGAATTCTCATAACGGAAGACTGAAAAGACTTTTGATAAGTAACATAAGCATATCATCTATAGATGCGAGCGTAGCGAGGGAGCGTTGGGGGAAATTGCTCTTAGTCGCTTGAAATTAGCTAGGGCACGTTTAATGATGAGAGGAAAAGGGGCCCCCATCAGATTTTGATAAGGGCATTTATTATTATATATTGTTAAAAGGGAAATTATCAGAGGTGAAAAGGGGCACTTGTAATAAAGGAAAATGTGCATTAGTTAAAAAGAAAATGGGCACCGATCAGATACTAAAGGGGCATTTATCGGAGACGAAGGGGGCACCTATCTGAAGTAAAAAGGAGTAACTTCACGAACCTGAAAAGGGTCGTTTACAAGAGAAGGGGCACTTATGAGAAGAGGAAGGGGCTCTTTTGTAATGAGGAACTTATCATTAGGAAAAAGGGCACATATGAAAATAGAATGTGCGCTTATCCGAGTTAAAATGGAGGTAGTTATTAAAAGGGGAAGGGGCACTTCTTTTTAAGGAAAAGTGGCACGTACCTCTCAGATTTAAATAGGACAATTATCAGAGTTGAAATGGGCAATTATCAAAAGTGAAAAGAGGCACTTCTCATACCTAACTAGGGGCACTTACTAGAGATTAAAAAGGGCACTTATGAGAATGGAAAATGGACACTTACTGCAAAGGAAAATGGGAACTTGTCAAAGGAAAAGGGGCATGTGTCCAAATAAAAGGGGCACTTATCAGAGTTGAAAAGGGGAAGGGACACTTGTACAAATCAATAGGGGCACTTGTCAAAAAAATGTCTTATGTAAAAAGGGGCACTTCTTAATAAGTTAAAGGGGCACTTTTCGGGTGCTTGAAAAAGTCTGGGGCACCGTGTCCCCCTCCCCTCCCCTCCCCTCCCCCCCCCCCCCCTCCGGGAGGGCCGCCTCTACCACATGACAACCCTTTTTAAGCATGTACAATCGTATAGAATAGTTTTACTAGCTTGAAACATACAAATAAATCTCGAAGCATTTTGTCACATGGAGATCATTTGCTTGGCACATAAAGAGTTAAAGCAACATAAAGATACCTACTATTTGTAGTATACTGAATCCTGGTGATTTCGTATCCGTAACCACTGACCTTACTGTCAGAGACCGTGTCACATGTGTAGTACAGGGGCAATGCCTTGCCGTCATATCGACCAAGTATCTGGACCTCGACTGAAAGAAAAACAGAACTGATTAGGAGGATCAGATGCGGATCTAGAGAGACTGGGGGATTAAAGGTACTATGTCACATTTGCAGGCCAAACAAATGAAAGGTTAAATTCAAACTGCATTTGAAAGACAATACTAATTTAGAACTTTCCTCAATACGAAAGGGCTTGAAAATGGCTTGTAGTTGGAAAATAACGACCATTAGTTTTTCAATCAACTTAAGTGATTGCAATCACCTAAATAATAATCTGATTTTCAGACCCTTTTACTGAATGCTCGTACGTTTTGTGCTGCACAAAGATTAAATCAGTTTCATTTTGGCCATTACAAGTAGTGGGTTATTGATATAGACAAATGCTACCTGGTAGTACAGCTCATTTCATGTATGTTATTACCAAAGAAAAAAGATGTCAGGCAGTTACTCAACAGTGACAAACAGTGAAGTCTAGCAAGTAAAGGGTTTCCTTGCATAATTCGAATACTAAGACACTAAGACTAGGACTATAGGACACTGCTAATTGTTAAAGTTCACAGATAGGACATACATGACATATTCATAATTCCTGCAAAGTTCTACAGAATGTGATGTTGGCTGCAAAAGGGACTTATTAGAGCCACCTCCCCCATCCCGGATATATACATTCTTCTAGGGACGTATACGCTCCTGATGAGGAGACAAAGTCGGATCAAAATGGCCTTCAATCTAAATTTTAGACATACAAGACATTTAAAGGGAGATCCAACCTTGCTTTCAAACGTATATATATATATACTCTAGAGAAAAGGATAAACAATCGGAGAAGTAAACTGGTGAAAGCTGGCATGAAATTGGACTTAAAATGAGAAAGTCGTGAATTTTTAGAAGTTGTAATCACTATACATGTATATAGTTAGGGGGTCTTCAGATCGACTGAAGTGGTAATATCTCTGTGATGTAGAAGACAACTTGCTGATTTGTTCCAAACACTGTAAAATTATGATAGAGTATAAAAGTTTACCTATCGGGTGAGCCCGATTGCTGGCACGATTGTGATAAGTTCTCATTTTGAAGACGTCTGGTGTCATCTCCTGGAATGGCCCGTTCCTGTAATCGTTTGTGTACATAAAACGTACGCTGAATCGTGCTTCATAGTGTACGCGTATTAAGCACTTAAGCCAGATGTGGTCAATATTCTCCTGGGTCAAGGAGTCTAAGAATAGTTTCCTCTGTGTCTGCATGCGTATGACCTTTGCGGGACGATCTGCATTAAGTTTAAAAGATAATGGCAAAGAGACATTTTTATGTAACTATTGGCGTATTTGAAGAACGGGTAAGGGAGCAATTTGACATGCCATCCCCGGCAGATATTTGCAGCTGTGGAAGAAAGGCAGTTTGCACATGGTTATGTAATCATTGGTGTTAGGAAATCAAGCGTTTAAACTCTCTCAATAGCTTTTAGAAAGTTGCTCAGATGTTTTGTCCCTCCTTATCCCGAATTCTGGATGCCCCCTGAATGTTATACTAATATCAAGGGAATATGGTAACAAATCACGATCGCAAAGCCTTTCAAAAAAATCAATCCGCTTATGTCCAATATTCTTGTCCATGCTGGCAATTCCAGCATTGCAATGAAGTATTTCGTTATCCGAATAGGATTTATTTCAAATATAAATTAAAATCATAATAGAGTAATGAAATTGCCCTATAGGTCATTTTTTTGTTGTTGGTTAAAGTCTTTGTGATTGTGTGTGTAGGTCTAACTCTAAGCCTGGTGGATGAGCTCAATTGGCATGACCGAGACAAATTTTTGCTTTTTTAAAATATTTTTTTTAACCGAATTAAAAAAAAAACCTGTTAGACCATGAACCTATTATGAATGGACATTCATCGTTTTCTAAACGAATTCATTGTGATTGTCTCCGTCAATGTCGTCTCAATAACATTCCGTACATGTTTCTTCATTTTGATCTCATGATGGTCACCGCCAATAAACCAGGACAGAATCAAGATAGTGATTTTAAACAAGTTAATATACATGCGCAGAAGATAATGAATCGCTTAAATCATGGGAAATCGATGTGCAGTTCTGGTTAATAATTGGAAATTTTTGTTCCGTGTACTGTGTTCTATTTTTGAAAAACATGTTGATATTACCAGATAGGTTTTTTTTGGATTGTTTGTGATTTAAAATCCCGTTTTCCCCAATTTCCTCATAATATTCCAGAATTACAACGCACAGGGCTTATAAAGATCATGGCCTTCTAATTGTTATATAAGGTCATTGGTGCATGCAAAAGTGTGCAAAAGTGTGCAAATCAGTAATAATATATTTCATATCACCAAAATCGTCTGCTTTTCAACTTTGCTGCTCCCCATTGGGGATGTTTTATTGAAGACATACTCTTACAGAGCACACCATCCAAACAAAACCCAAGAGAGGGAAACTGCTCCTTTGTCAATGCCCGAAAATGCTTACACAGTCGTTATTGTTAAAACAGCTGAATGTTCTCATTAAGCGATCTGTACTTCGGATTCTATTCATCGTCGCCCTTCTTTGTATAAGGGCGATTAAGCCGGGAATAAATCCTGCTCGCCGTGGACTACGTCATAATAACAGCATGAATCGGATGCAGTATACTAAAAGACAGCTATTTGAGGTAAAGAAATCCCTAAGGGGTAGTCTTTTGAATAGAGTAGATGGTTTGTTGTTGAACAAACTTCGTGATTTAGACATTGCACGGGAACGCACATGTAGAGGAGGAAGAAATGAAAGAACGACTACAAAGCAACAGATCGAGTCTTTTGTCACTAAGCGGAGTACTACTTCAGGTTCAGGTTCTCGACAAGCCAGAAATAAGGGCAATCTCATTTCTGTTCAAACTCTCAACACTCGGGATTCGAGCTCCCTTGTCAAATTTGGACTTTGGAATGCTCGATCTATGAATGCGAGAGGAAAATGTACTGCTTTTTGTGATTACGTCATTTCAAACCATACTGACATCCTGGCTGTCACAGAAACATGGCTGACTGGTACAGAGAGAGATGACCATACATTGACACAGATCAAGACAACGCTTCCGAACTATGAGTTCCATCATGTTCCAAGATCTGGTAACAAAAAAGGAGGCGGTGTAGCAGTGCTACTGCGGAGAGATTTCAACTTCACAAGAAATCTTCTTATTCAAGTGGAAACTTTTGAATACATCGATTTGACTGTGAATTCAGCAACTGGATCACCATTTCGTCTAGTTGTAATCTACAGACCCCCTACAAGCGGGAAGAAGAGGAATTCTCCATGTGATTTCATTAATGAACTTTCAGTTCTCATGGAGACACTTGTTGTTACCCAGCAAAGGCTTCTTCTTGTTGGAGATTTCAATCTTCATGTGGACGTTCAGACGGACAGAGACTCCTCGAAGTTTCTTGATACGCTTGAGGCTTTTGATCTCAAGAACTTCGTGAAGTGTACTACGCACAAGAGTGGACACACGCTAGATCTTATAATATCGCGGGCAGATGACCACCTTGTGTCAGCAGTTACATCTTCTTCCTCTTTGTCGTCAGATCATTCAGTCATAGAATGTCGTCTCCATGTAGCACGACCAATGCCCCTTCGCGAAAGGAAGTCATTTCGTAAGTTGAAAGACACTGATCTTGAAGAGTTTCAACAGAGCATTGTAAACTCTAAATATGGGCTCCAATACACTTGACAACTCGGAGAACCTGGAGGCACTCACCAACCAATATGATGCTGAGCTACGTCAGTTATTGGATCAACATGCACCTTTGTCTGAGAAGGAGATCATCCTGAGACCTAAGGCGCCGTGGTACACTAATGCTCTACGAAATGCTAAAAGGGAACGCAGGAAAAGTGAGAGAAGGATGACCAAGACGGGACTTACAGTTCACAGGATGGAATACGGAAAGCAATGCTGCGCCTACTACAAGCTCCTGGATAGTGCTAAGGCGGACTACTTTCTGGATAAGGTTTCCTCCTGTAACCCAACAGTCGTTGTTCCGTGTGGTGAAGACCCTCTCTTCTCCTGCTTCGCAGCGGGTTCTACCGACTCACATTTGTTCTAGTCAACTAGCAAAATCTTTTGCCAACTTCTTTGACCAAAAGATTCGACGTTTGAGAGATGAGCTCGATCAGAGTGTCGTCCAGGACCTCTCTGTTGACATGTGACAAGTGCGGTGTCTCAATGACTCATTTCAACTATGTGGAAAAGGATGAAGTGCATAAAATTATGACATCTACTTCAAATTCTTTTTGCCATCTTGATCCTTCTCTGGTGAAGAAATCTTCCACTGCTCTTCTTCCTATCAATCAAGTCTTAAGCTTAATATCCAAGATTTCCTCAGTTCAAGAATACAGTCAGTCAAAGCTGGGAATCATCAGTCAAATGAAATGACGACCCACATAGGTGCTCCCCAAGGCTGCGTTTTATCTCCCGTTCTTTTCTCGTTGTACACAAGTAATTGCACGAGCACCAAATCCTCTTGCAGTTTAGTTAAATATGCTGATGATACTGTGATAACAGGCTACCTGTTCAATGACCCTCACGAATACATCTCCCAAGTTGAAGACTTTGTCCTTTGGTGTGACAACCATTACCTATCACTGAATACCAGTAAAACCAAAGAAATTATCGTTGACTTCCGGAAAGGCAATACAATACATGAGCCACTCCGTATTCATGGAGACGTCATTGAGCAGGTACATGAGTACAAATACCTGGGAACAATCATTGATGATAAGCTTTCTTGGAAGCAAAACTGTCTGTCTGTTCAAAAGAAAACGAATACAAGGATGTTTTTCTTACGGAAACTAAAGAGCTTTCATATCGATAGAACCATCCTGAAGCTCTTCTACCAATCGATCATCCAAAGCGTAATGACATTCAATCTGATCTGCACTTTTGGTAACATGTCAAACGAGCAAAAGGGAAGAGTAGATCGAACTCGAAGAGTCGCACAGAGGGTTATAGGATCAGATCTGCCCCTGTTCCAGCACTTTATGAAAAACGCTTACTTGCAAAAGTTAAAGTTATAATGACAGACAACACTCATCCTCTCAATGATTGTTTCAGGTTCAACCGTTCTGGAATAAGACTGTGCCCTCCCCGTACTCGCCTTTCACGTTCTCGTAATTCATTCATCCCTAATTCCATACATGTGTATAATTCAACTGTGACGCGATAACTGTATACATAAGGCTACCTACCTATCCTTATAATCATATATTTCCTACTGGATTTGAATTTGTTATTGCTGATGTTGAAAGCTGTCCGTTTGATTGCACTTCAATAGCTGATATTGAAGTGCAATCAAACGGATAGCTGGAGACCGTGGATCGGGAGCTAGCCGATGGGGGGGGGGGGGGGGGGGGAGCTGACGGGAAATGAAATATCATATTATGAGACATGTTAATGTATGACGCATGTTATTCATACGATTGTGCCGGTTATTGTTAACTTGATTTTTTCAATCGTCAAGAGTTCATTTTACTGTAGAAGTGTTGCCGTAATTTTATCTCGCATTATAATTATAAAATATGAATGTAAATCTATTTATTCCTGTTATTTTCTGCAAAATCCATAAGCATCTGTGGATCGGGAGCTAGTGGATGGGGGGGGGGGGGAGCTGACGGGAAATATTATATAAGGAGACATTTTAATGAAATATCATATTATGAGACATTCTAAATTATGACGCATGTTTTTCATACGTTTGTGCCGGTAAACTGTTAACTTGATTTCTTAAATCGTTAAGAGTTCATTCTACTGTAGAAGTGTTGCCGTAATTATATCTCGCATTTATAATTATGAAATATGGATGTAAATGTATTTATTCCTATTATTTTCTGCAAATCCAAAACTATCTGTGGATCGGGAGCTAGCGGAGGGGGGGGGGGGGGAGCTGACGAGAAATACTATATTATATTTTGAGACATTTTAATTTATGACGCATGTTAAATGTAGGCAATAAGAAATTGAGGGGAACATGCACACTATAAATGATTATCCATATTTATGTACATAGTTTCCTACTGTTAAATGTTATATTGTATTTTCTATCATTTGTATTTTCACTGTAAAAAAAGCCATTGGAAGCAAAATTTCTATGTAATGTTTGCATGCATGGACCAATAAAATAATCTTGAATCTTGAATCTTGAATCTTGAATTAATGCTTGCATTTCGGACGTAAGACTCTGGGCGACAAAGAACATGCTCAAAATCAAGGATTCGAAGACGGAAGTGATGCACTTCTCCTCGAAGTTCCGATTCTTCCAGCCTACAGCAGTGACAGTTGGTGAAGCAGTGATTACCCCGGTAGAGAATGCGAGGAATTTAGGTGTAATTGTGGACAAGAACCTAACAATGGATGACCAACTAAAGAACGTCTGCAGATCTGCCACAGCTGCATTACGAACTATAGGGAAAATCAGAAGATACCTGACCAAATCGGCTACACAAACGCTGATACAGTCCTCCGTCATGAGCAGACTGGATTTCTGTAACAGTCTAATGTATGGTCTCCCTAAGAATAAGATTCGCAAGCTCCAAACTCTACAAAATGCTGCAGCTAGAATCATCTCAAGAGCCCCACGCAGACACGATACTTCCCACCTTCTTCATGATCTTCACTGGCTCCCAATCGAAAAGAGAATAATCTTCAAAATCCTGCTCATCACTTTCAAAGCCCAGAACGACATGAGTCCTGCCTACATCTCAGATATGATTTCACCTTATGTTCCTACACGCACACTCAGATCTTCAGCCCAGCACCTCCTGCAAGTTCCTCGTCACTCAACGCATTTCTATGGCAACAGGGCTTTTGAAGTGGCTGCCCCAACTCTCTGGAATTCGCTCCCTCTGCATGTCCGTCAAGCTCCCACACGACAGACTTTCAAGACCCTTCTTAAAACTTACCTGTTTCGTTTGTAATTTTTGGACATTACTTTTCATCTATGTATTATAATTGAATATGCTACTCTAATTGATTTATCATAAGTATTTGCTATTTGTATTAACTTTGCTCGCCATGAATTCTCTACATGTCTTTAGCGTAAGGTCTTTATATTTTGTTCTTAATTTGTAACTATTTGAATATACTTGTACTTGATTGTTTTTTACTTTGTAAAGCACATAGAGAAACTTCGGTTTATTATGCGCTCAATAAATCTATATTTATTTTTATTATTATTATTAAGATGCACATAATCAGAAGGCGGTGACTATCATTGGATCAAAGAAAGAATCACGTTGAATGTCCATCTGTAATAGGTCCATGGTTAGACAAATACTTGTTACATGCTCGTTATGGTAAAGTTATGTAATCATTATTCATTATGCACCGATCTATGCATTCCAAGATGGTAAATGTGGAATATTTCGTCTGGAGTATGTCTATACTAAAAGACTATAGCACTCTGGGAGTAATTATTCTAAAATACACTCTTGCCGAAGTCTTTTCTTCTTTTTGTTTGTTCTTGTTCTTGTTCTTGTTCTTCTTGTTCTTTTTCTTTTTCTGCTCCTTCTCCTTCTCCTTCTCCTTTTTTTTGTTGATGTTGTTATTCTCCTTTCTATGTAATGATACTGATATGACATTAAGTCGAAGATTAACTAAAGATTTCAAGCGATGTGACGAAGATAAAAGGCGATTCATTGGGATAATTGGCATGGCATTAATGCCTCACGAGTTGAAATGTGCTCTGGCTTGTCAGAACGAACTACGGTTCAGTTGTACTGGTATTGTACTGGTAGGCTGATTGGCTCTTTCTTAGCTCACTAATTATAAGAATTGTACTTGTGTTGTTGTGCAAGTAATGGATTTCAAGTACGGTGTTCGGTGTTAGTGTTGGCGTTGAGGGCATTGAAAGGCTGCTGAACCGAGCTCCAACACCGACGGTCAGTTTAGAAGGACAATACCGATCAGCGGCAGGGGAGGGGGCCCAATTCGTGAGAAAATATTTAGCGGCGAAATAGCCGGCCGATAATTCGCTCAGTTTGGGGGGGGGGAAGTGAGCACTAATTTTTTGGGGGGCCCTCGAAAATTTGAAAAATTGCACCCCCCCCCCTTCTTGCGATAAAAGCATAATCCATTCAGAATTTCCAATAAATTACATCACCGAATATCAAATGTAAGGTATTATTGAAAAATGAATAGACAAAAAAAAATTATCTTGAAAAACATATAGAGCTCCCATGATTTAATAAGTTTACCTACAAGTAAAGTAAAATAAGCCTAAAGTACTTCTTTCCCCACTCGCTTCTTTAGGAGAAGAAAAGGAGGAATAAATAAAGAAATATAATGTATGTATGTATGTCTCAATTTAGTGTTTCTTTGTTTCTGAGTGGTCAAGGCACCCTGCGTTAGAAGGGGAAAAAAAGATCACTGCGCACGCACGCTGAGTAGCTGACCAGATTAAACTTTAAAAAAAGCAGAAACACGAAGTTGCAAACCATCCAGAGACTCCTAATAAATTGCGTTACCGACTAATTAATTATATCATTACAAATCTTTATTCTCAGTTTTCTTATGTAGACTCTATAACTGATTTTCTAATAATACTGAAGATATGGCGTATTTCTGTATATTCAATACTGAATGAACGCCATTAAACTATTACCAACAACAACAACAACAACATGATTTACAGTTGTTTTGACTGGAGAAAAGATTTTACATTGGCTTGATGGTGAGATTCGCACGGGGGGGGGGGGGGGGGGGAATACTCGATTTGGTTTGGACGGGGATGTGCCGCTCAAGCCTCGAAACCCCTACCCATTATAAGGGTCATTTTGGGGCATTTTCCTTGAGAAAAAAAAAAGAAGTAATATGTGAGTACCCCACACCCCCCCCCCCCCCCCTGGGAGATTCGTGACAGCTAGATGCCGGCATAGCTACCTGCGGTATACTGCAACACCAACACCAACACCGAACTTGAAATCATGAATTTCCCAACCCCTAGGGGATGGTGTTGGTGAATGGGAAAATTACACGTAAATCGTCAACACCAAACGCGATATGTGGTTCAGCAGACGACATACCACACCAGCCCTCAACACAGACTACCGGAAATGCGTCATATTTTCCAAGGTCAACCCGGGTCGATCTCAACACCAGCATGACTTCAAGTTCGGTGTTGTAGCTGGTGTTGGTTTTCTCACAACACCAACACCAGCTTTCAACACCGAACTTGAAATCACTCAGTGTAACATGCATTTAGTAGAATTTGGCATATGGTCTCACCTTGACCCAGTTCACTGGTATACACTCGTTCCACATCTTCAGGCGAAAGGGCATCATAATAGATCCTCAGATCCGTGATCCTGATTTGATGAACGTCTAATGACGTTACGTTTGCACTGCCTTCCGTCGTGAATACTTGGAAAGATGCGTTGGCTACTTCAAACTCGGCCAGCGACAACCACGCATCCTGCGTAAAGTTAGACCCAGTGTCATTGACTTCGACCTTGTTGAGATAGACCTTGAGATCTCTCGCATCTGGGCCACAGGTTATAGTCACGAACTTCCAGTCGGAAGTAGGAGTTATGGCCCTCACGGTTGATGTTTCGTTACCATGGCGATAAGTCACTATCAGGTATGTTCCTGCAGAGTAGCGAGGAGGTAAGGGGAGCGAAACACTTGGAGGGGAGTCGTCTGTATTTCTATCCTAAAGAACCAGAAACTCACAGTGATGCCATTAGCCGGGTTACAGCAGGCAAGGTCGGTTAGGCAGCTCCGGATGAACGGTTTGAAAACTAGACTTGAAAGACCGTTGGTCTGAACCGCACATCGGGTAAATTGTGAATTATGAGAACTATACCCCTTCTTCAGTCCGTTACTATGCAGGGGGATCGAATGTAAGAGGAGAAAGGGAGATAGAAAAAACATAAAGAAAAAGAGAGAGAGAGAGAGAGAGAGAGAGGGGGGGTGGAGGAGAGGAGGAGAGATAATTTCAGATAAACGTCAATATTAAATATACATCAATATAATACGTATAATGATAGTCCCTCTCCCCACCCCCCCCCCCCCCCCCCCCCGTTCTCATGCACGCATACGTTTTGCACAGATGAGGCTCCCTCGATCTCTCCCTTTCAAAAGTCGGGGGGATCTGCCACATTCCCATTCTAGTAATTATGCTGTTCTCATTAATTTGCAGTTTATTCCGGCCCTTTTTGAGTTCAAGGATATATAAAACGTCAATTAATAGCTTATGTGAAAATATACAGACAAAGCGGTAGAAGGATGCATCGAATGAAATTAATTTGTAAAGTGGATGTCTAAAGGAGAGAGAGCGCGCGCGAGAGAGAACGAGAGGGGGCAGGGGGGCAGCTGGGGGAGTATCTTTTTTTTTTTGGGGTGGGGGGTGTGGAGCACACGCAAGAGAGAGAAAGAGTTACAAGCGAGAGATGTAGGGAGACGGAGCGAAATTGAAAGGGGGGGGGGGGGTAAAAGAGAGTCTTAATATAATTATGAAATAGCGTTGATGAAAGCGCTAAGACAACGTTATTCTATAACGTATACGTCAATATGGCTCTCATAAGCAGGCACGTAGTCATGGGGGGGGGGGGGGGGCACGTGCCCTCATTTTTTTTCTCCAAATTTCCGGTTGAACTTTTATAGACCCCTCCCCAGGACGTCGATCGATTACATGTATGTGCCCCCCCCCCCTTCTCCTCCCCAAACATCAAACTCTCGCTACGGGCCTGCTCATAAGACAAAATTACGAGAGAGAGGGAGCATTTGTATAATTTAGAGCAAAGTGGCGTTATGGCTTCATGCTGTATATTAAAGTTCACGTCCTCTTCGCTCTCTACAGACAAATTAGGACTGAGTGAAAGGATAAGAGAAGAGGGGGAGGGAGAAATGGAAAGATAGCAAGAAAATAAAGGGGGAAAGGATAAATAACAAAAAGACAGGAAGCATGTAGAGGATGATTACTTTACGCATAGGAAACTGAACCGCAAGCAACCGCAAGCTTTTCATTAGCAAATTACATTTCAACTACCATTGTCGTCAAAATTTCCATTCAAATTTATCTCCGCTAAGCAATCATGAAAACGTAATTGCATCAAACCACCTTCATACAATTATACTACAAAGAAACATTCTTCTTTGACAATGAAAAGAAATGCAATCGCTGCTCATGCGTGTACATTTGCCATCGTCATATTCAATTGTTGTTCAGTCACCTTTCCAATAATCGTATCAATGTTGTGAATATTGAGTATAATAGACCCAAGGTAAACGAAAGATAGTAAATTGTGTGATAAAACTCTTTTTGTGTTTGCGTGTAGAAGAACAAAAGCAACGTCTTGATTAAATTAGCCTTTATATTGAAAATTTCCTATTTCATTTTTTTAATTACTTTCATCTGGTTTCCCATGGTTTCCAATTTCTAGTGTCATTTTAAATTTGCGATTTGTAAACACTTTTTATGTCATTGTATTTTACTTGGATCTGTTTTTGGACCCTCTGTTTGCATTTTAATTATGTTTTTTAAATATGTAAATTCAATATCAATTCAACCATAAAGGTTGCGAGCATTGAATAAAATAAATCTTGAATCAGATGAGAGTTTCAAATTTTAAAGGCTCTTATTGCCTTTTAAAATTCATTGCTTTTTCGAATTTTACGAAATCACGGCCTCGCTGAAAAACAGCATTTGCTGAATGCGGGCACAATAATTATTGCATTTTTTTAACCGTGAATGAATAAAATATACCATACCATACTATACCATATGAAATTAGAAATAGTTTGTCTCTTTAAAAGACGTAAAAACAGTTTACAATTTGAATCAAAAACACCTACGAATTTGTGAGTAAAATTACTAGAGTTAAGATATGAACAAAATACGCATGAACTTGAAATTGTTGTCACAGCAGGGCAAGAAAAAGACAAGACTGAACTTTACACTGAAATATCAAACGCTGGGCAATAACCTCTTTTTTTTATCAGGCAAGTGGAATCTTTGAAGAAAAATGACGAAAAATAAATGTTTTAAAAGGTACTAGATTTTTTGAAAAAGACAAAGGACAAATACAAAAATCCTTTTTTAGTGCCCCAATTATCTATGTTTAATGAATTGAATGCACTTCTTTGTATCCCATTTTTTTTATAGACGTATTTGTGCTCAAGTTTCAGAAGTTTGAGTGATGCTATACGTCTCTGATATTACTTCGTTCCTGCATTTATCTTTGAATCTCGATCTTATCTCCATATGTTTCTGAGTTAAGATTAAATGAAGCGTTAGCCTCGAATGGGGTATACTTTTGTTACCTTTTATCAAAATGCTTTAACCAAATAATTAAAATAAAAGGGACAAGAAAAATAATAAGGCAAGAACAGGAAAGTTCAATAAAGAAACAATTACATAATACGGTGTAGCAGCGTTTGCGTTCGTCATTTTGATTCGACAGATTTGCAAACCCCGGCCCCCCCCCCACTCGGTGTTATTTAGGATACGCATATGCGTGTTCCAATCAACCCCCCCTTTTCAGCAAAAGTCCAGTGTGTAAAGTCAATACGGGTCAACCTTTTTCTTTTGTTACGAAAAGGACATTTTGGTAACACGCATGGGGTCCGTCCGTTCTCGGAGTGGGGGGGGGGCCGGGTTTGCAAAATAGAAATGGCTGAAATTATTAAGAAAATGAGGATTCAAGACAAAGATTAATACTATTCGATGTAGGAAAAGGATGCTAATCGTAATACCCGTTTCTTGTTTCTTATAAGCGCTTTAACATTAACACCAAAATGTAGATAAAATGCTTTGTGAAGGACATAAAAACCGTGCCGGGGCTCGATCATGACCCCCGGTCATGACCTTTGTATTTCCATATGACTACAACACCTCTACATAACGATAATAACGATAACTATAGAAGATATTTTTCAGCTCACCCATCTACGTGGCCGATCAAGTCTCCTTTTATCGGAGTAACTTGATCCACAAGACCGCTGCAATACCAAGATTCAATCGCTCCTCGAGTGTTCCCGCTATCCAACTCGCTCAGCGACCAATGCAAGTTGGGATCCGGGAGTGCGTCTGTAGATCAAACATGTACATAAACCGTCAGTGCTGAGCCTTGCACGAGCTCTATTTGGTCTCATCTATAGCAACAACTGGCATTCTAACTTGCACATCGTCCAGTGGACACAAGGGCCCGAATTCACAAAGGAGGTTTGTCGACAAACCTCCTTTTCTTTCGACAAACCTTCTTTTGTTTTTTGTCAAAACGCGTCAAAACGCGTCGTATGACGCACATAAACCTCAGTTTGTCGACAAACCTCCTTTGTGAATTCGGGCCATTCCGTCCGTAATTAATCAAGAATGTACAAAAATCGTTTGTTTCACAATTTTAGAGCATTGCGCAAGTCACTTCTATAGCTAAACGTTACAATGCATGCACATAATTATGTCCCTTGTGTTGTGTAAGAGAAATTTATCATGATAAAGTTACAGGTCCGAATTCACAAAGGTTAGTCGACAAACCTTCCTTTGTGAATTCGGGCCACAGGGTTTGCAACCTTTGCTCAGGAGCTCATACTCCATGTGCTAAGGCAGTCCCGGAAGGCAGTGCTTCACACAAAAGAATTTCAAAGTAATTTAAAATTCAAATGAGATAGGTCGCCACTCGCCTATGAAAGAGCGGGGATCTGAGAAGGTATTAATTTTTTCGGAGAATGCAGAGAGGTGAAGGAAAGGAGTGGAATCAAGCCGCTTTCCTTTGACCCCATGCTCCAAGCCACCTAAAAGATATGCGCTAATCTGCAACTGTTCACGAGGTGATGAGATAAACTACTTGGAAATTCTTTTGTGTGAAGCACTGCCTTAGCACCTGGAATATGCTTTCTGAGGAACATAATTATTTCGACATAACAATATCCATTATTTTTAATGAAGTTGGCCTATATTTAAAAAAAAGCATTCTTATATTCTCAACGGGTCAATTTTAGAATACTTTAATGGGCTCACAGCAAAGGTTATCATAGAGTTGTCGATTTGTGTTTGATCAATCACCGTGAAAAATATAAACAATTCACGACTTTCTGATTTTGTATATGAGGTGCCTTTTTTCTCCATTTTTTTACTGATCAGTTTCATTGCTGTTTTTGTTGTGGTTATCGTTGTGGTTATCTTGTTGTTGCATCTGCGTTTTCTGCTTATTAGTAAATCTTTGACAAACCTGTCAGCAAAATAAATCTGACACCCTCCCAATGTCAAAGTAATCTAGGCGACGCCCCTGTTTTTGCGCTGAGCCCAGACTCCCTCCCCAGCGTTATCAAGTAATACATGAGAACTGTCAATGAATTGGCTGCAGATGTGCCTCTCAAAAAATTGCCTCAGGACTCCTCCTCGATTCTTCTCCTCCCCCTCGCCCTCGCCCTCCCCCTCCCCCCCCCCCCCCCCTCTCTCTCTCTCTCTCTCTCCCTCTCTCTCTCTCTCTCTAGAACCGCTACTGTTAATATATGAAAGAAAATGTACAGAAGACTTTTATCATACCTAATGGGATGGAGCACTTTAGTCTCACCTCCATGTCCACGCAGGTCTGGTTGAGGTTTGTATCCGCGCTTAAACAGCGCAACAGGCCATTTTCACAGGATACTGTATAAGAAAGGCCTGTATCGGCAAGACTACGATGGGTAAACTTTTCTCGACACTGCGTCTCGTTGATCGGCATGCAGACCTGAAAAAAAGACTTGTGTTACAGGTGCAGATCCAGGATTTTCCATTAGGCCCCGGGGGTGGGGGGGGGGGGGATTTGAAAATCATGCAAACTTAACTCCGTTTCGTTGACAATCAGCCATACATGAAGTCTTTCATCTATGTCTGATCGACAACGAAACGGAGTAAAGCCTTTTGGTCAATTCCGTTTGTTGCTACGACAGGCAGCCAGTAAAAACGAATTCGTTTAATCAAATTATGGAAATGCATCACTTGAAACAAACAAAACTTTTTATTCCTTGCTCATTTTTTCTGATTGAGGTGTCCAGGCGCTTACGCGGAGGGGGGGGGGGGGGTTGGGTTTTTTTAATTTAATAAATCAAAAAAAGAAGAAAAAAAAATTATACCAATGGCTGACCTAAATAGTTGACCTTACCCCCTCCCCAATGGAGCAAGATGTCAATTTATCAAATTTCGAGACCCCCCCCCAAAAAAAAGTGTCCTCTTCCCCCCTCCCCGCTTATTCAGTGGCTGGCTGAGTCGATTTAAAAATGTTAAAACCCTCCCCTTGAAAAAATCCTGGGTACGCGCCTGGAGGTGTCATATGAAAGGGCAGAAACTGAACTTTCTAGAAATGTGATTTTCTCTTTGAAATTCAGATACCGTCCGCCAAATGACTTTTTGGTTTCCTCTCTTCAAATTGATTTTAATCACTCATGCATGAAATATGCATCATATGAGTTGCATCAAAATAAAGAGAAGGATCTAAGCTTTACAAATATGTGTCATTTATTAATTACAATGGTGATTAAGTTATGATAAAACATCGATAATTCTCGGTCTCGTTTTTTCTGGGACGCACTGTATAATTTGAATAATAGGACACTGCTTATGTTTAAATTTCACAGATAGGACATATGTGACATAATTCCTACAAAGTTCTACAGAATTTGATGTTGGCTACAAATGGGACATAATACCTTTAAGGGGAGCACAATCGGCCCATCGCCTCTTTTAAAACACAAAAGAAATGCAGTCAAATCTGTCTATTAAAACCATGCAATGAAAACCTTAAAAAAGAGGTCAATGTAGACAGATGGCCTTTCTAGAAAGGTTCTACAACACAACTACACTTTTTACAATACTCTCTTTAGGGAGAACAAAAAATACTTGGTCTCTATAGACATGTGGCCACTAAGACCGGTTTGACATGTAGTAGTTTGTTAATTTGTGTCATTCCTGGTTATTGTTATCTTTATTCTTACATTATAATTTTTAGATTCGCTATCCAATGTATAAACAAATTGAGAATGATCCTATTTGTTCGGAATGAAATCAATTAAATTTGAATTGAATTTGAATTGAATTTGAATTGAATTGAATTGAATTGAATTGAATTGTATGGCGTGACCCTGCTGCTATTCATTACCAAGTTGGGCACTTCGGGAGAAATGGGGGGGGGGGCACTTGCCAAATAATAATAGGAAAGGCATTTTGATAATGTTCTCTTTTTTATTAAATTTCAACGACTTTCTTGATAACTATGACTTACTTAATTTTTTAATGATTTCTGAATTGATTATGTCCTATTTGTCCCTGTCCCTTTAAACCCGACTGATAATTTACAAAAAGTAGATGGATGTTCGACTGCACTCAGTCGAAAATGATGCCTCCGCCATAAAGCGATTTTAAGCAACACAAGCAATTTTTAAAAATTCAAGTTTGATTGTAATCCATTAACAGGTTCTAAGAATATCGTGATTACGAGCTATTATTCCTATACATGTATGACCCTTTGAACTTTTACCTCATGACCTTAAAATCTGATCAGTTCATTGGCTATGCAAGATACATAAACATGTCCCGAGTTTGATAGTAATCCATTAACAGGTTCTCAGAATATCGTGATAACGAGCTATTATTCATATACATATATGATCCTTTGAACGTTGACCACATCATGACCCCAAAATATATTCAGTTAATTGGCTCTGCAAGATACATATATGACCCAAGCTTGAGAAAACGCGATCACATGCTATTTGTGCATACATAATGAGCCCTGTGAGGTTTGACCTATGACCTCGTGACCCCAAATATAATCAGTTTATTAGATGTGAAAGATATATACATGACCCAAGTATAGCGGTAATCCATCAATCGGTTCTTGAGATTACGCGATCACGAGAACGGGACGTACAGACGGACGGACAACCAGAAAACATACTGGCCCGAATTCACAAAGGAGGTTTGTCGACAAGGGTAGGTTCATTTGTAAAAACGTGTCAAAACGCGTCATATGACGCACATACACCTAGGTTAGTCGACAAACCTCCTTTGTGAATTCGGGCCAATGCCCTCAACTACTTTGTAGCAGAAGCATTAAAACGAAAAACAATACTCGAATCACCTCTAATAACGTATGAGTAAAAAAAGGGTTTACACCTGGAAAACTGCTTGATTATTTTCAAAGTCATCTATGAACAGTAAATTATTATACATCTTATGAAAGAGTGTTTTTCCCCAAATCATTTGGTATCCTTTTTGTGCGGTATGTGTTCACGCTTGGATGAACAGGAGGCATTGTTTGCGAGAGTTTTTTTTTACTCACGATGTATATGGCCGGAGAGCCAACGTCATATTCGTTCGTCGTCCATGTTACTTGGTTTAAACAATGAGTCTCCGCCTGTCACACAGGTTCGAACAATTCAAAATATGTAATAACCTAATGAATTGTTTCATAATTGTTTCCCGAGAGTCTTTGTAAGCGTGTTAAGCTCTAACCTTAGAAAAGTCTTCCTGCTCGCCGACATCGGTCAGGGAGTCATTCGAGGAATACCAATCTGTCCAGTAGTTGGTCCTTATCGCCTGCAAATCTTGATTATAAAAAAAATAAATGTTTTAACATGAAATCCTATTGAAAACTTATATCTTTTTACAACATGAAGCCCGGAGTAATTGTCGCCGAGGCAAACTAAAAAATTTGGAGCACCTACTACACCAGTCACACAAACGAGACCGATACCTGACCGACACTAGACCGACGTTAGACTGAATAAACGATTACTTTACCCCGACTGACCAGTGATCGGTTTGGAGTCGGTGTGGAGACAGTGGAGTGGGCGTGAAGTCGGTATGGCGGTGTGACTGAGGTATTGAAAAGAATAGGACATTTTCGTAAGCCATCGGATTTTATCCATATTTTGAAGTGCCTTGATCGGTACGAAATATTTTATCACCCGTTACGGATTGTATTTCAATAGTCAGAATGCAGATTGCTTACAATACGTGTTGTAAGGTTTGGCAAGCCATAATGTTTGTCTTATACCTAACAACAACTATTGTATGTAATTAGCGAGTTCGTAATTAGGTTTTGCGCATAAGCAGATCAAGGTCATTCCTACCTAAATTGCAAAACCATTGAGACGAAAACTCGGATCGCGCTCATGAAAGTTATGTAATCAGTATTCATTTATGCACCA